GATAATCAAGGCCCACACTGTTGTCTGTGATGCTGTCAACCAGCAGCAAACGTATGGGCTGCCGCGAATCTACCGCGACCTGTCTTGCGGACGCACGCACTGAAAAAGCCAGAAATCGAGGCGTGTGCAAGCTCAGTAAGTTTCGTGCCGCCCAACTATCTGCTCGTCTGGGTGTAGTAGCTGTGCCTGCAACATGCCATAACGAACCCTCTGCACCTCTCGAAGATCGAAACCGGCCCGTCAAGTCACTTCTCAAATGCAGGCCGGGGACTTAGACTACAAACCCACCACAAGCCATCGGGAGCGACGATGTCGATCCGGACCCTGGCAGCCGCACAGCATAGACCAACATGGAACTACGAACTGTTGGCTGCTGTGCTCCCGGGCTTCAAGTTGGACGGAGGCGGTGGCAAACCGCCTTGCAAAGTGCAACCGTAAATGCGCAAACTAGCTTCCAACCGATTGATCCAGGAATCGAGCGGAAGATGTTGGTCCCAAAGCCATGCCTCAGGCAGGCGTCTTCGGTCTTCGGGACATACGACTCGGTGAACCCAGTCTCCCGAGCATCAAGCTGCCCGTGCAAGTGGAGCTGCTCCATCGGCGTCAGCTCCCGCACCTGGCCAAAGCTGCTCTCTTTTCTAAAGAAGGGAGAGTTGAGGCGTAGTGTGGCCTGCCAGGACAGGTTCGACCTGCTCAGGGGCACTCCGCCTGATGCTGCGAATCGATCCTTAAGCGAACCAGCCTGGGGCTTCTCGCAGGCATGGTACCTGGCTGCACCAAGCACGCTCTCGGCAGCTTTCGGGCACTGACGTGACTGACCGAGGGCCTTCTTCTGCGTAGCAATTGATGGACGTCTCGGTCTTCATCTCGGTCTGCGCCATTAGCCTCAGGAAGTTGACATAAAGGAGCAAACCACTTCAAGGCCAAAGGAACTCACCGAGCGCGCTGCCGAAAGTTTACAAGCTTGTCAGCGGGGTAGGACAACTCAATCAATCCAAGTGTTGTTGCGTCCTGCGTGGTGTACGTGCATACACACTCCCACTGTCGTGGAGAGTGTTGGGCATGCGAGTTCAGATCCTCTGCTGTCAACGCCGGCAAGGATCGACGCCAGGCAAAAGAACTCTGAGGACCGTTGAACTTCTTCTTGTACAACCGAATATACTCCTCGAGGCAGCTGCACAAGAAGCAGTTCTCAAGAATGGATCAATTGGACCAATTTTCAAACTGCGTTTGTCCTTGCAGTTGATTCGCATTCGAACTGCATCTTGCAGTGCGTAGGCATTCCTGAGGACCAACTCGATGCAAACGGCCCACCAGCGGCTGCTAAACCGACTTGCAAAACTGAGCAGGAACATGGACATGCGAATTTCAAGGTCTTGCAGCCGCGGATCGACTGGATCCGCCGCTTCAGGGCAACAAAGCTGCGAATTACGTGCCTGCGAGTGCGAAGTCGCCAGTCATGTTTCGTAGAACTCTGCCACTGAACTCTTGCAGTCGGCATGCCATCTGCCACGCCCAGTAGCAGGCTTGCCATGCCTGGGTTGGATCCGAAACGCTCTCAGCATCTCTCAGCACCCAGTGTCCGCAACTTCCAATACTGAGCTTTCTACAGCGCATGCAGGAACGGCCACATCTGGAAGTCCAAAGTCCTTCGGACCTAACGTTGATCTAAGTTGACACATAGGACTAGGACCAGGACCTCTCATAAAGGATCTTGCAACTTCGCCCGCGAGTCGCAAGCCGCAAGCTGCCGCAAGCTGCCGCAAGCACGTAAGATCCCAGCAAGCCAACGGATGCCTTCGACAATGCTGGCCTGGGCGTCTCAACAGCAAACCTGATGCTTCAAAGTGCACTTGGAGCTTCGGAGCGACTGCGAGAGAGTGCGAAGTGCGAGGCGTCTTTGCAAGGCTTAGCCCCGTGCGGTGAAACGAAGACGAGAAAGATTCTGCAAGCAAAGGGCAACCTGCGGTTGAGCGGACCAAAAGTCTCTGGAACCTTCAGAAGGATGTGGCGGTGCCGTACCTCCAACGTCAAGCAGTTTTCCACGTGACAGTCCGTGAACAAAGCCTGAGACCTCAAGTAAGCAGCAAACGAACGCACAAGCTGGATGCGCCACGTTGGGCTTGAATCTCCGCAACACACGGTCTAACTCAGGCACTCGCTTCAAGTCCACTTTGATGGACACATCCGTGGACGGCATGAGCCTTCCAGTGACTTCGACGCAGGGGATGTAATTAGGCTTGCTACACACGTGCTGAGGCTTACCCGACAAACTGAGCGCACGGCTGTTGGCTGGTTGGGAATGCTAAATGGGCATCCCGGGTTTGGTTCAAAACGCGGACAAACCTCGGCGCAGCTGTGTCGTCGGTGCTGGGACGACGTCCGCGTTGAACGGCTGACGGTGAAGAATTACGCTTCTAGGCCCTTGCTCGACTTGCGACAGCTTCTGGAAGATACCAAATTCACCTGGCCATAACAACAGACTGTGGGAAATCGGGTTCACCTTTGCTTCAGCAGCATGAAGCAACATTATTGCCCAGGCCCGCACTGGATCTTGTTGAATGGTAAACGTCCCATGGGACATGCACCTTCGACGTGCCTGCATTCGTCCAACAGACTCAACAGTGCATCACTCTTCGGCTCTGCAAGCAAACAGCCACGTGCCTGCAAATTCCTGGTACAACTGCAAACCTCGTAGATGAACGCTCTCGGCAAGGAGAAGCTCAGACTTGCGAGCATCCTGCCGATCATCGACAGAGTTGGGACACAAGAGAAGCAATCGCAGCAGTTCCATGTTTTTTCTCTAACGCTTGCTTGCATTCACCGTCCTCGCCACTTTGGGTTTCTGTAACGACCTGAAGCTCATTCTTGCTTTCAATTGCCACAGCTCTAGCTTTTCTGGCACTGAGTCTTCGGCAGGTTTCACATCACAAGCAGCGATCAACAATCCAACGGCCAGTGGGGGGCCTGACAGACTGTGCATGTCCAATTTATGGGCCGCCCTGCCCCCCCCCCCCGGGTTGGCCCCTCGGCCCCCATACCTGACAGTACCATCCCGGCAACACACGACACTGCTACCCAAGCCTCGGCAATGTCACTCGAGGAACAATTGTGACAGGATGTACAACAAGCGCAAATTTCAACCGCAAATCTACACAACTTACATCGATCTATTTACGCATGCCAGCGTGAAAACTGAAGCGGAAGGCAACAACGGCAAAGCTCTGACAAACACATCCCCAGCCTTCAGGGTTGTCATGCAGCTCGCCTTCGATCTCCAGTCTCACATGCACATTTTTCACCTGTTCAGACATGCTCAAACCAGAATATGCTTCGTAGATTTACAGCTTGCAAACTCTCGAAACATCAAGGGCTGCACGGTGACTCGTATTCGCGACAAGTAATCCACGAACAACTTGCGAAACCTGGCACTTTTTTGCCGCGCTGGCTAGCAAAACTTTGCTCACGCATGGCACCTGTATGCTTTGCGCATATTCGTTACAAACAAGGCAGCTGCACATTTCGCGCTCCAAGGTTCGCCGCTGGGTCTGGCTCCGCATGTGCACAAACCTTTGGGCAGCAGCAACATACAGCAAACCATGGCAAGAGTGGCCGTTCCTGCTTTCTCAGACTCATGCTCCAAACGCTCCATCTCGTTAGTGCGGTGCTGGTACACCTGGCATGCACACAGCACTGTAGCCTAGCGGTGTGCGACACAGCTTAGAGTGGCCGTAGAAGGCTGTCTGGTGCCTCTTCTCGGCTAAGCCATCTGCAGGCCGGAGCCAAGACTAAGTCGAGCCTGCAGAAACTCGGGGATGGTTCGCATCAGCGAAGCCATGTAAGTGCTAAGGCCATTGCCCATCGATGATGATCTCCAGCTCGCCCTGCATGATGGACCTTGCACTCGAGACGTGACGTGATACACCTTGCTTTTTTCACCCTGGCGACTGCAGCTAGGTGGCAGCTGAAGCATGGCTGAGGAAAGCGTTCCAGCCTGACAGAATCTGTTCGATCAACTGCTCAGCCAACAAAACAGAACCGAGACCCAAGCCTTAAGAACAAAAGGCAGGTCGCTTCCGAGCAACAAGTCATCGACGGGCTCCGGGTTGAGCGCCTTGGCTCGATTGACACTCTCAGGTCTGAGGTTCCTTCCACTGGAGTCTTCACCAAATTCAGTCCCCCCAGTTCGGCACCAAATTCCGAAGCTCCAGGAAGCCACTCAAAAGGCCTGCTGATGTGGGAACTCGTGGCCGCAAGTGCTTTGCGATGAAACGTGAACAGGTTTAAGCTCGTCCCCCCCGCCTAGGTTGAGGTGCTCCGCGTTGAAACCATGAATAAACTTTTTCGCCTGCCCTTGTAGCAGGTCGGCCTCGATGGGACGTGACGTGACGCGCTTGGCGCGCTCCAGACGCTCCCATCTGAGGAGAGCGCGAGCCGACTCTCCAGAACCATAGTGGGCCTTTTACAACGGGACTCTCACGAAGGCTCCAAAGTCTGCGGGTTATTGTCTGAAATCTCTGATCTCTGCTGCCGTCGCAAACAAAGGCTGGTACCTACTGCCCACCGGGGGGGGGAAAGCCAACCTCCGAGCGTGTTTCGTGCCATGCTGCTCCGGTGAGAAATCGCATCGGCAGTGACCCGATCTGAGCGCAGGTGCCAGATGCGGGCTCTGCTCGAGCACGGAGCACGGCCACGAGCGCTTCCCGACTGGTGGTCCCCCCCGAAACTTGAGCCGATCTGAGGAAGGGTTGCGACGTGGATAAGGGAGGTGTCAGTGTCAGCACACCTGCGGCCTATTCCGAGTACGCAAAGCTTTGCTCGCTGCGACTGCGACTCTCGGCTCGCTCGCATCCTTTCGCATGCGTTGCCAGAGGCCCTATCACCGAGTGATGGGTCAAAGCAGACTTGCGGTGAGACATGAGCAAAGAGAAAGCAAAGAAGGGAAGGGAAAGAGAGAGAGAGAGAGGGGAGAGAGAGAAAGCTAGAAATCCCGGAACCTGTCAATTGTTCACTGGGGGGTTTCTGGTGTCGAACGTGAAGATAGTCCTGACCGGGTACAGTCAGCTCCCGAGGGCGTAGAGGCCTAGAATGACTGCAGTCAACCCGCCAACCTGCTGCCCAGTCTGAGCTCCGCATCGGCCTCAGCTGACGCGAGGCGAGCCGAAGCTAAGCAAACGTCGCTTATCAGCAAACCATAAACTCGTGAGAGCATGCTGCATTCGAGGCTGTCGCCCAATCAGAAGCACCTGCCTTTCGGAGCATGTCCGCAATCTGTGCGCACGAGGGGTTTACAGCAACCATTGGCAGGCAGGTTGCTCTCGCTCCAGCGCGGCCTCCCGAGCTCCAAGTGCTGTTGCCAGAGCGAGGGCACAGGTGCCATCAGGAGCCTGGCACAACGGGTAAGCGACAGCACCGCCCACCTGCGACTCCATGGCCTTGCAGTCAACATCAGGAGTTGGCCATGCAGACTTGAGCATCAAGCGAACCTTGTCGTGAACTACACTTTCATTCCTGTCTCCGAACATCTGCAATTCTTCAAGCTCGTGTCTGCCAAAGTCCCAGGCCAAGTCCGTCCGCTTGGTCTGGATGGCGAGGATGAAGGGTGTGGCTTGACGACCGATGTCTCGATGGTTCACATCGGCACCACCTCTCTTCGAAGGCGCACTTCAAGGCCGGAAATCTTGCGGCCCAGTCGTGCCTCGAAGCAGCGCGGAGACGCAGGCAGCACAGCCACCACCGGGTGCTGTCCTGGGCGACAGCGGCCGAGGCTTCTGGGCAAGGCATGCAAGGCTTCCAGGGCCGCTGCAGGAGATGGTGCTGCAAAGCTGTCAAGCCCTTCAGATCCTCTGACTCTGGTGGAGGCTTCTGAACTCTCTCTTCTTCCGCCGGGCATGAGGGGCTGTTAAGACCCCTCGGCCACTAGGGCCCCCCCATATTTTGTGGGGACTTTGGAGGAGTGTGAAAATTTGTTTCGTAGTCCCCCTAGGTGGATCTTTGCAGCCCATAGTAAGACTGAGTAAGCAGTACAGAAAGAAAAAGATGCGATCCCCCAGGGAATTTCGACTACCTCTGTGCACAGTTCATCATTACATCAGCTCCGGGAGTATGATTGCATGCTATAACACAACTTGAAAGACAACACCGAAACAACACTAGCATGATAAAAGTGAGTTTGCTCCCTCCGGATCATGTTTTCAATATACTGTACGGTATCGGTGCAGGGGATCCATCATCTGTCAGCACCAGATGAGTAACAGGACACCGGATAAAGTGTAGAGTCACAGTTTAAGGTTCCCCCGCGACCGCTTGTGTCGTACTAGGCATGCCTGACTACCAATCATCCTGCATGGATCCTGATCCACATCACAATACTAAATTGGAAATAGCAGGTCTGAATATCGGAGCTTTTCCTCTCTCTCTCTCTCTCTCCCTCTCTCTCCGCGCATTCAGTAGAATTCCCGGAGGCGCCTCTGAGCAGGGATCGGCCCCTACTGCAAGAAGTGCAGAGACATCATGGGCAGGATCGTTCTTGACCTGGACGGCACAGCACAAAGAAACGGCCGGAGGCCTTCAACCTGCAGCCGTCTGTCAAGGCACGCCTTTAGGAAGGAGGTCCATGCGGCATCGAGATGCGACCACACGAGATCGGAGGCCTCGTCCTCAAACTTCCAAAGGTGGGGATATCCCTTTCAATCGAGAGTGCACCTCTGTTGTTGCCACATTGCTTGGAATGGCGGACGCACATCCAGGACCGTGCATCGTGATGTGGAAACACCTGCAAGGAATCTGAATCTGGTCAGCTATGCCGGCTTGGCACAGCTTGGCAGTCCAGGCTTGGTGTCGTGCTCCTCAGACCATTCCGCCCCAGCAACCAGCTCGTGGACAGAGAAGCCCACGCAATCACAACTCTCTGCCGCCACCTGCACGACTCAGCGCAGGAACGTCCACCCAAATCTTCTCGCGTCTTCTCCCATTGCTCTTGTGCCTTTGCAGCCTCAATTGTCATGAAGCCGCCGCAGCCCCTGGGAGCCAGGGCCATATCTCTTCTTCGGGCGAAGCCTCACGGAGGGCCGAGGGCTGCGCTCGAGCTCGGGGCCAGCCAAGCGGTGAGAAGCTTGCTGCTGCCATGACAGGACCTCGCTTGCGAGCATTTACGAGATTCACACCGCCCCGAACCGTACTTGTAGCAGAAGGAGGAGTACGCCAGACACGACATGCCTGCAAACCTGTGTTTGCCAGGCATGTCAGTCTCTCGTTGCCTGAAGAGCCCTAATTCCTGGCCCCCTTTTCGTGGATCAGGCGAGAGAGTGCCCGATGTCTGCACTGCGTAATTTGCCAACATCGAGATGCCCATCTGAGATGCCGGCGCAGGCATCCGCTGGACTTGAGAAGTCTCTCCTGACCTGTTTGGAGGCTTATGCTGGGAATCGTTCGCTAGTAGCTGAAGACTCGCTACCAAGTAGATTTCTCGAGCATGCTGGAAAACACAATCGCAATGGGTTTCGGAGCTGGCAAGTCTCCGAGCATTCTCAGCATGCGGCCAACTTCACAAGTGGATCGTGACCGCGCTTGTCCTGGAGTCGCGGATTGGCGCCTGCAAACCCAAGTGTCTGCTGTTTGCGTTCGAGCAAGGTAGCTTGAGACTCCGACGCCGTTCTAGCAGAAGCTTGACCTGCTCTGCAACATCCACCGGGCCGAAACACATCTAAGCCATGGCTGGACTCTACAGATCACATTGTTGCGGCCAGGGGTCAACTCGGAATGTCCGGCTGTGGCAGGCCCAGTGTAGGGAGGAAGTACCGTCCGAGCCTAGCGGGGACATCCGGAGATCAGGGGCAAGCACCGTCAGCCCCGTCCCTCACTTCGTGGCTGGGAAAGCGTCAAAGCTTTGCCGAGATGCTGCAGCGCGCATCGACGTCGGCACCGCGATCCAGAAGAAGCTCGCACATCGCAATGTCTCCGGCCTCGTGGCATAGAGTCGAGCGTTTCGCAGCCTCCAGGTCGAACCCCACTGGCCAAAACCTTGAGCCTTGACAGCCATCACCAAAGGCGGAATGCCCGTCTCCGGGTCGGTGATAGAAGGATTTGCCTCACCATAAACATCATCTTTTCCAACCGTCTTGAAGCGCATCTGTCCCTACCTTCTCTCTGTCCAGCAGCCACTTGGCAAGCTCGATCTCAGTGAGATAAAGCAGCGCAACAACAAGCACTTGCGCGATTTCAGCCAGAGGCAACCCATGTCGAACTGCGCATGCCGTTTTCCGGGCAAACCCACGTCACCATCCTTCACCGCCTGGTGGAATTCCTTGCAGGTGGTCTGGAGGCTTCTCAATGTCGTTCGCAGCACCTTCGATGCGTCGATGGCAACTCGAAGAAGGAGAACAGGAGAACCCCCGCCCGGCCTGGATCCCTCCGGCCCCTCTCCCCCCGAGCCCTCCGGCCTCCTTCTCGGCGAGGGCGCAGAGGTCGCGCAAGTCTCCGCAATCCTCACCCGCACTGCATTCAACAAAAAGCGTCGCGCAGGTTCGGTCCTCCAGTTCACAGACCTCCATGGCTTCGTCTGCAATGAGCAGGGACTCACGCACGGCATCACCTGCATACACGTCGAACGTCACTCGGCAGTCGAATGGTGGCATGGAGCCACATTTTGGGAGCCTCTGCTCACTTCTGTCACCAATGCAGCCTGCCCAACACATTAAAGCACAGAACCGCGCTGGCTGAAACCGGAATGCTCGAACTGACAGCCAGGCACCTCCAGGCACCGACGGACTGCCATAAACAGAAGAGCCTGTGACCCAAATTCGCTGGCGGGAGAGCACCTCTTTTTTCACCTGATTGAAGCCTCACCTCTGCTTTTCGTCGAAGCTTACTGTCCGCACCTGGTAGACATCACAGGCGTGCAGGAACCCGTTGCACAAGAACAGAGGGCTCCGACCGCAAATCCTCGCATCTTGCAAGGTTTGCAGCAGCGGGTCTAGAATAGGCCTCGCTCACAGGTCAACACAGTTTTGCTGGAGGATCGGAAGATCCGAGACCACAGCGCGCTCATGTCCCAGGGACGCGAAGAGCGCGTGTACTCCTCGTCCAACATGACAGATAGCTGCAAGCAGGCTAGCAGTGGAAATACCTCATGTCATCTGGACACTCCTTGCTGACGTCCATGGTGTCCCAATATCTTGCCGCACCCGGAGGCCTCCATATTACAACGCACTACGCTGCCGCGTTGGTGCTACTGCTACGTCATCAAGACTACGACGGGTCACCAAACCGAAGCCCTGCCGTTTCTGAGTCTGGGCTGCGCGCACTTGCGATGCAGCCGTGCCATCTCCCTGAGCTTTTGCAGATACGATCTGCACCCCGGTCCGCGCAGGGCTCGAACGCCAGCTGGGGCAGGAGCTGGTCCCAAAGCTGCCAAAGCAATAACCCACTGAAGTCTCTCCTGCCACGGCAGGGAGGCGCAAGAGCGGGAGTGGATGTGGCGGCCTATGTGGCCCCTTTGCCTTGGAGGCTCTCCGGGCTCGGGTGAGCAAATTCAGGCCCTCGGCTTCCACTCCTGAGCCCAGGCCGGTGAGCCCGTGTCGCGAGAGCATCGAGGCCAAGTTCTCGTTCTCTCGGTCGGGGACTTCGGACTCGCTGCTGGCATCCAGGAGTCGTGAAGACAGGACCGGGATCCTCGACTCGCACCGGACACAAACCCACCCTCACTCCAGCTATCTCCAGCTTCAGGCAGTGTTAGACCCCGGCTCTCTCGCCACGAGCTTTAAAGCGCGCTCGTGCCCGGTCACCTCGATCGGCAAGCTTTTCACCGAGTAGACGATGGCGATCGCATCGGGATCCATGTTAATAGTGTTCGCATTGATGGCTGAGCTTCCAGCGCTCGACATAGACATTCTCCAGCGCAAGCCGGTAATCCTTGGCCGGATCGAAGCACCCAATCATCGACGCGACGTCACCACTCAAGGCGCCTTCACTGCAGATGCTTCAAGAGCAGCTTCCACCTTCGCCTTGGTACAGCACAGTAGGTATATCTTCTAAACAGAGCCGCGACTGGCAACGATGAGAGGCGCCCGCCAGCGCCAGGTTCATTGGACACTCCGGCGGATGTTCTCCACCGTCTGGCACATGAATTCCGGCTGTTCCCGTCGTGACCCGCTAGCAGCAACACAACAAATACATCTAACGTGGCTTGGGCGACCGTCAATTTCATGTCCAAACAGTCGGTCACCGCACCCATATGGACAAATCTCCTCCCCTCAGAGTCCGTGGGCTTCGCAGTCGAATTAGCTTTCACAGCAGCCTCATTCTTTGCAATCAGCCCGGTGTCTCAACCATCCGGAAGGCAAGGCGCTGTTTGTTGCTGTTACAACAGATCGGAAGAAGGTTCAAAAGGTTTGCCCAAGCATCCCACGATTGGGACACTCGTGAGCTAGATGTCGTGCTGCTTCCTGACGGAAGCACAGATTTTGCTGCTTTGCCTTCCTGGGCCTGGTGATATGTCTGCCTTGCCAGTGAAGAGTGCGCCGCAGTGTCTTGGACAGCGGCGGTGCTCGAAGAACACCTGTAACAGCCGGCCATGGTGCGCAGATGTGCGCAGTGTGCATTGCTGCAGAGGGTAGGGCTGAGCTGCGAGCGGCACAGGATGCAGTCTCAATAAAGTCACCGATGCCATTGTGCTGCATCCACCTAGAAGGAGGCAGCTGCGTCTTTACTGCATGGCAGCAGTAATTGCAGCAGCACGCAAACAAATGCAAAGCAAAACTCTAGTCAAAACAGTAGTGACTCGGGAAGTGTCGCTCAGAGCGTTCATTGAATTTCAAGCGACTGTGTCAGCTTCCGAAACCAGACCTAGTAGCAGCAAGCCGCACACGAACTCACACCACAGGCCAGTAGCCAGTCGCAGCATGAGGCCCACAAGAGACCACCGCATCGGGCTCACGAAAGGGCAGCTTCTGATGAAGCGGCCGAAGGATACCGCAATCGGACTGATTATATAAACAGCAGAGACTGGCTCTGGTCATGCACAGCTTTCTTCTTGGTTGCGTAGGGGGAGTTGACGCTTTGTGGGTTCGAGTCACAAACATCCCGCACAGAAACTGAATCCCATTTTGGGGCTCAACAATCTTTGGCCCAGTGGAGCATGAGATGACATGGAACTTCAAGTGCTTGTCACACCAGGACCGAGCTTCCTGCCGATTGCAGCTCTGGCCAACGACTCGAATTCAACTCATGCAGAAGTCCCTGCTCCTCTACTGTACAGATGCGTCCGTTTACGATGTCGTCGGAGTGACACAGATCGACTTGCAGATGCCAAAGCCTGTCTTCGGACACTTGGTTTTGAAGTTGGCATGGGAGGTGTCCTTGTCTGTCGGGGCGAGGCTGCGAGCGAATGCCGCTACATGTCTGCATGTCTCCACATACCTCCAGTCTTCAGGAACGTGGGGCACCTTTTCGACGCCATGTTCGGTTGCACACATTGGCGCAATCCTCAGTCCCTGCGTGGCGTCTCCACGCTTCTGGACTATGCCCATGACAGAACACAGCTAGACAGCTTGACCCAGCCAAACCTATTTTGTCGAAGAATATCTTCTACTTAACCAACAGTTGCTTTGTCGAGATTGCAAGTCCATGGGAAATCCTACAGGAGGTCATGGTAGTTTGCTGGTCGACTAATAAAATACCTGGACTCGTAGACTGGTCTGTGACCAGCCCACGTGAACAGCTTACATTCCGAATGCTTCCCAGCAAACACATGACCTGGGCCGCGCCAGCATCTCTTCATGCACATTTTGACAGAAGGGTGATGCTGCAATGGGCCGTGGATAAATTAGCAATGGTCTTTGACTCCATACAGTGTATGTATGTGTGTCTGATCACGCTTAGAACTTTGCTTGCTTTCCCAGTCATTGTTCTAAGTACATCCGTACGGTGCATTTCCCTGTTTTTTGCGTTCTCGCAGATTTCGGAGAACGAGCTGAACAAGGCGTCGCTGGCGACAGTGCCGGGGCCATCCTCAGAGCTTTGCAGAAGCCCGTCTTCTGTGAGCTACGGGCACTCAGAGTTCTAAGACCCGTTCTTCGGGCATGCGAGCGTCCAGTTACACCTCGAGAAAAGCGGCTCTCTAGAAGATCCCATCTGGAGGTCAGGAGGTCTTCATCCGAGTTCCAGGCCGGCCCTTGCGGGCAGCCCAGCCAGGTGCTCGCATTTAGTGATGATAGGTGTGATAGCTCTGCCCCGTAAGATAATAAGAGCCATGTGTTGCCATGGCGGATGCTCCCATCCCCGACCCGCTCTCGCATCCCTTGCCCTCGTGAGTGCAGCACCTGAGAGCGCGAGAATCCAATGTGCACAATGCAACCCGTTTGCTTCTGCACTTCTGCCGGCTTCTCAGGACAGAGCCATGACTTCTTCTCGGACGACCACCCTGCTTGCCAGTTGGAGAGCCCAGCCAAGCAGTCGAATGGCTTGGGCGTTTCTTCCGGGCAGCCAAGGCTGAAGTGAGAACAGCACCTGGGCCAGAAAAGCAATTTCACCTCTTGTCGTGGAGATTCAAAGACCCAAATCGCCAAGGAGAAGCAAGTTTTCCTCGGATCCTCACCATAACTTCTTGTGTGGCGACCATCCAGCTTCCCAGTTGGCGAGGCCAGCGTGACAGTCGAATTGAGCAACACATCCAGTCCCTTCGTGCTGACAGCACCTCACACCGTGGACGTTGAAGCTCGTAATGCCCACACTATGTGACAAGCGAGGCTTTCACCATGATTTTTTGTCCTCCGACCAGCCAGCCTTCCGAGAAGCACAGCAGCACCTCCGTTTGCCCCTGACAACCACAAAAAGAGCGCCTTCCAGTTGGATAAGCCTGCTTGGCAATCGTAGGCTGCATGGTGGACGACGTAGTAGTGAGTGTGAGAATGGCCGTAATGGAAGTCGCAGCCTTGACGGTTGTCAAGGAGCTTTGGGTGCGCACGCTGTGAATTGACATGTGCCTTTGCCAAGGTGGAAGCAACACCACGCCTGCGGTCAAGACGGCGAATGCAGTTTTGACAGCAGCAAAGCACGCAGCAAATCCCTGCAAGCAGTCGAATCCAAACGTGTGCCTTCTTGTGGGGAGACCACGTCGTCTGCCAGGCGCCATAGCCATGGTCGCAGTGGTACAGCTCTTTCGGAGCATCGAAGCAAGCCACATCTCAGTACGATCGGTACGCGAATTCGAGGCGGAGAGATATCGCGAAGCACATGGACTGAGAGGGAGAGGGCACGCACAAAGCTTTTGAAGGCTGAGTTCACTGCGATAGCGTGCACAGCACCATGCTCGCTTATGCTCCGGCCAGCCTGGTAACACCACCCCGCCCAGCCATGCCCAGCCCGCTTGCCGGTACGAGTACCCCCAGTCGGCATCAATGGAGCTCAGCTGCCGACTCAGTCTATTGTCATAGTCTTCATGACAGTCGTATGATGGGCCCTCTGTGGTTGTTTCTGTCGTAGGTGTCACCGGCGGCCCCTCGAAGGAGCAGATGCCCTGCGCCGCTGCAATCAGAACCCAGAGCTGACCCAGAGCTTGGAGGAGCAGTTTCCCTTTGCCTGCATGTTGCAGCAATACTGGCGCTTTGTCGTAAGCCAGTACCTTCCAAGAGTTCCTATGCTTTTGGCGCCGAGTGCGAGCTGCTCGCTTCCGACTTGAGTCGTTGGCTTTGAACGCACTTCCTGGTAGAGAGTCCCGATGTCACCTGGCATAAGACTCTTCCAAGGAAACATATCTGCAGAAGCGACCGGAACGTACCAGGCTGAGTGCACGACTGGACGAGGTGCTGGCAACCTGGTGTGCTGTTGTTGCTCTCAGCTTCACTGCCTCTCAGACAAAGCTCATATCTCCGATCTCAGGGCTACACTGTGGCAAGGCCAGTCTGGAACTCGGCACCTCTCAGATCCGAGCAGGAAAGAGCTGCCACATCGCTGCTTTCGTGTTCCTCTGAGACGCGCACGCGTCAGCGCGCCGTCGCCGTTTCCGTCGGCAGTGAAGAGCTGCTTGCCGAGACTGTCCTTGAACGACCTGGTGTGCGGCAGAATTGCCCTGCAGGCTCCTCGCCACTCGAGGCCACGACCCATCCCGCTGGAGCGTTCCCAGCTCCGACTTGGTAACCAGGTTGTCCTGAGTAGAAGCTGCTGCAGCGAGCTACCAGAGTCACGGTTCAGACTAAAGACCGACCAGTGCTCCTGGAGGCAGGCCACAGGCCTTTTCTCGGTGCGTCACACACCATCCTACTTGAGAAGATCGGAGCGACTTTGCGCGGTTACCGGCTACCTAAACCTACATGTCGACCGTCTTGCATTTCAGCTTCGCTGGTTTGCACACGTCTGCCGAACAGGCCCCATCTGCTTCGAAGCAAAGGACAGCCGGCTTGATGCGGCCTCACTGTTCGTGGCTGTGGACAAGGCCCGTGTGCGTTCCATCTCGCTCAGCCTGTCAAAGACCGGACATGAGAAAAGCAAAAGCTGTGAGTCTTCTGGCCGCGCCTTGTCATCGTGGAAGCTGTCTGGAGAAGTACTCGCTGGAAGCTCTTGACGGAAACTTTGCAGTTTGGGCATCGCACATCCGGATGGAGGGAGCCATCAGGCAAAGCATAGCGGAGTGAACATCTGTAACAGATGAGCAGGTGGCCACAGGGAAGACACATCGTGTTCGCAGACACGTCCCGACAAACCACACAGCTCCCCGTCGCAAGGCCCCCGGCAGGCCCCGAAAGGGGACCTTGAAGGCCTTGCCTTGCTTGCGCAGGCTGCGCGTGAGGCTGCGCGTGTGCCGCTCTGGCTCTCGGATCTGTGAGCACTCGCGGCAGCTCTTGGAATTCCGCTTCGCGTTTCAGGCAGCAGGTGCATGCACGCTGACCCATCTCAGCAGAATAGCACGGTCATGGCAATGGGTCGCCCTGAGATTTTGAGCCACTGCGGCAAGGCACCCTCATCTCTTCTTGCATGCGCCTGGTCAGTGTCTGGTCAGCACCAGCCAGATGCCGAGTGCCCCACGCCATTCTTGTCTGCGAGGATCCAAGCCTGGTCATGGCTGGTGCGGGACGGGACGTTGCGGCGTTGCTCTTGGAGCTCTCGAGGCTCGCGCCCCATTGCACCACCGGTCTGCGTCCGGTGTTGCAAGACCTCCCAGACCTCGACCTCCCACCAGCAGCGCCTGCCGGTCACTTGAAGACTTGAGCTCTCAGCTCAGAGCTCTCGAAACGCAGGCACTAGCGACCGACCTGCACGTAAGCATCGTTGTCCATCATCGCGGCGTCCTCATCGCAGATCTCTTCTTGCTTCAGGCTGCCAGGCTGCGAAGCTGTGAAGCACGCACCGGACAGGTTTCTCAGTCACTAGCTGTTTCGTTCAGGGCACCGATCGCTGCGCCCGAGAACAGGTTCTCTGAGTGCCACCTTCAAAAAGCCGGGACGTCTGCGCTTGGCTTCTGCTTGCTGGAGTCCTTGCCGTTTCTTGAGGCAATCACAGCGGAAGGCTAGAGAGCGGCAGGTAGCCGTCAGCATCCACATCGAGCACCGCCCACCTGAAACACGGCTCCTTTCAGCGCATCCACTCAGGTCTACTCGCCCACAAGGCACGCGTAGGACCGCAATCCCCTGGGTCTCCGGCGACTCGAGGATGAGGGCGGCTCCTGGGCAACGCAGAAGCGCTGCAATTTTTTTGTCACTCGCATGGCACGCCGATGACAGCTCCGCGAGGACTAAGAGGTAACTAATCGCAATAGAGCCGTCTCAAGAAAGACCACAACAAACAAACCAAGACACAATACACATAGCAAAGACAAGTGTAAACAAATGAAGGCGCTTGGTCAGCTGCCTTACCGGGCTCAAATCTACAGTTCTACAGTACTTCATGCGGGGGAGACCTAGCCAACAACCTGCAGTCCACAAACCGTTTTGAAGGCTCACCACAACTAACCAAACAACCCATATCTGCCCCACGTATCCTTCTTTGACATGAAGCGTTACAAACCAAAAAAAAGTGCCGCATGCGTCGGCAAAATTGCTTTTGCGCCTGCGGCTTCCGGACCAGAAGCCGGATACTGGCAGATCCGCACTGGCCTGAGAGGAGCGTTCCGGAGCGGCGCTATGCGCTCTCCATGCTCTCCTCTCTGAAGCTCCGGGTGGCCGGCTGGAAGAGCACGTCAGCACCCGGCATGGAGTGGTGAGTTCTGGCACAGCTTTCAAGAAGCGCACACCATGTGGACCAAGGAATGACGGTCAGCAGGACCTGAAGAAGAGCAACCAAAGCAGCAACGGCACCTGGGTCGCGAGTGCTGATGACATATATGTTGCCACTTCGTTTTCTATGGTCCAAGCAGTTCTTTGCATTTCAAGCTGAGCCTTTGGCCAGAAAGAACAAGCAAATGCAGCCGCCAAAGCCGAAAAAAAGCCTGTTCTCTTGCGTCGCATGCTGCATACACACAGACTTCCACTCAGTACTGGAGGTCTCCTGCAGTTCCCCCGCGACGAAGGGACACGTTCCTTGATGAAGTCGCCTTTGCCCTCTCCAACCTGATGTTAAGGCGATGATAAACAACAGATGCAGACTGAGGAAGGCAGTGCCATATCTCCACTTGCAACATACTCAGGTCCTGTCAAACTCGAGCTGTTTGCTTTGTGCCCAGTTGCCTCTTCCTGCTTCGTTCATTCAAAGAGTCGCAAAAACTCAGAGCTTCGCTGCTTCGCTCCCTTGCTTGGCCTTCACCCACGTAGGTCCAGTTGAGTGGTCGTCCCTCTCCTTCGACCTCTTCCTCGAAACATTCGCACCTGGAAGAGCGCTGGCCCGTCGAGACCGCTCACACGAAAAGCCGCTGCCGTCGCTTAGGCAGCGGCGCTGACATTATCCTGGAAAAGCAAAAACGAGAAAGCAGTCCTGTTTCATTTTGCAATCCAACCGCCTGCGTGCCTTCGCAGATTGCTGCTGTGCAACGCTGGCCCCGGCGCTTTCAGCCGTGCCGCTTGAGCAACATGAGCAGATATGAGCAGCCGGGCGAATAAAGCAGCAGCCGTCGTGAAGACAAGAGAATGCAGCAAGCTTGCCGCCTCATGCCTCGCATTCTTTCGAACATGTAATACATGGTAGTCTTTGGTTGCATGCAGCTTTGTGCATGCAACCTTGGCAAACTGACTTTTTCACCGTGGCCATGCCCTATCCCTCTCTTGGAGCACACGTCGGGCAAAGTGCCTGAAACTCCTCGAGTTGCCGCTGGTCGAAGATACAAAGGCTGATCTTCGTCTCAGTGCGCAAGAGACGTCTCTGACTCGCCGGAGGCAGGGATCGAAATGCACCGTCCAAGGATGCAAACGTCATGGCAGGCAAATCCTTTTGAAACGGTCCTGCGAAAATACCCCCGGAAACTGGAAGCAAGCGAAGTCGTGGGGATTCCGAGGAGAGGAACTCTTCCAGAATGTGCCTATACGCGACTGTAAGCTTGTCCACTGCACTTGCACGTGTGGCAGGAGTGGACATAGACATGACACCAAGATCTGGGCCCACGACATGGATGACATGCTTTTGACCATACGTGTGTATTTTAGCATCGCCTTCCTGCCGCACGGCCTGCCTCACATCGTGCGGAAAATGTGCATCCAATCCGATCTTCAGCCACGAATAGATTGCACCCGATGCCCCCCCTGCACCTGCTGGCCCAAGGTCTTGGATGAACCGCAGCCCAGCTGGATCAACCACAACAGTATCTGCAGCAGGCTCTCGTGCAGCCGGCACAACATGATGGGACATGTCCAGCTGCACGCCGAGGACTCCATAGGGAACCACGGCCACCTTTGGCAGCAACGAAGACGAGGCCAAAGCAGTGGCCGAAGCCAAAGGCGAAGGGTCAGAAGAGAGGGGAGAAGACGGGAGGGCTCCGAGCTTCGAAAGCCCAGAGACGCCGAGGCAGAGAAGGCCGAGGTAAAGAAGGCCGAGAAGCCGGCGGCTGAACCACTGCGGGAACCACTGGGCAGCGGGGTTCCCAGGGAACTGCAGGCGGCTTGACAGAAGCGGCGGTTCAAGGTCCGAGCCTTCGGTCTCCTCCATCTGTGCCATGCTGAGCCGAAACGCTGCAGAGCCAATGAGACCGGAAAGGCGCCCCTTTGCTTCGCCTGGCTCCTGAGCTAGGCCTCTTTCACAGCTCCGGCCCGCGGCGTCTCAGCGTCTTTAGCTCAGCTCTTGTGGCTCACTTGCAGCGTGCGAGATCTGAGAAATCGGAGGCAGCACTGGAGCCGCTGGAGCCTGCGAACTGCGCTCCGCAGCATCGACAGGAACCCGCGTCCCAACAGCTTGCCCGACTCTTGTCGTAGGCAAACGAGGAGCGATGTCATGCTGAACCCTGGTCGGGATATGAATCAGGTGACCAGGTTGCCCCTTAGCCTGCTGACTTCCGATTTTCTGCGTGGAGGCTACTCAAATTTGACTGACTTCTCAACGAAGGTCTCATCGTCCCTGAACACGCTTGGCGTCCGACCGCAGTGACTGTAGGGGCTGGTGAGCCGCCGAAGACATCCAGGACCTGAAGCCGGCAATGTTCTGCTTCGGGGGAAACCTGACGAAGTGTCTGCAGCCTCTTCGGTGCAACACATGGGCAAGGCATGAGATGAGCAGAAGTACCCGGTACCCGAACTCACTGGAGGCCTTGGGATTGCGAATTGCTTCGACGAACGTCTGTCGGACATCATGACCAGCTTTAACGTATGAGGCTGGTCGTCCGAGCGAAGGAAAACAGAGTGGTCCACCACGCCCAGCATATGCCGCCGACATTGCCAGCGCATCTTGAACCCAATGTTCCGGGTATTGGCTTCCGAATCTGGGTTCAGAAGGTTCGGGCGCACACATTACCCGGGGCCTTCTGAGCTTCATCGATGACCTTCTTTGCATTCACCTCCTGCTTCTGGGCAGCCTGTGATCCAGGACTAGCAGTGGATGTGTCTTTCGTCGGGATCCGAGCCATTCGTTGCAACGATCGTCGCCAAAGTAAGATCTTCTAGGTTCGATGCTTCGGCTAGGCACTGTTGCTTAAGGAGTTGGAACGGCTTACCGGATCTTCGCAGTTTCCGGTTGAAGAAGCCATCACTCCCATGTAACTCCCATGTCGGAGCGAACCTGCACCTGCTGCACAGCCAGTCTGGCCGCAGCCTGCTGCGCAGTCTCCTGGGCAAACTCGGAGCTGGAATCCAGGCGTGTCATAGAGGACATACCAAGTAAGCGAGCATTCCGAACACACATTTCATTGAGCAACAGTTCTCTGCAGAAAATGACACAAGCTGCCCCCAGTTGATCCCTGTCTCTTCGGTTTCGCACGGCATGAGCTTCATTCGCGCAATCCCTGATCCGAGCTTGTCGCATGCATGCGGTGGCATCCGAAATCTCACTCACATTCGGCGCGACTCCGTTCACGTCGGGAGTGCCAGCCAAAGTACCGTCACCATCTGGCACTGCACGTAAGATTTCTCACGGAAATGATCATGGAAATCTTTCTTTCCTGTCTGCGACATGCGAAAGCCTCGACGGGCGCATCGGTCCTGCATTCGGATCCACAAGATGAGCTCGCTCACTACGTTGACACTGAATGTTTTGTTCCATTTTGTCTGTCTCATGGTTTCCTCGCCTCCACAAAATCTCGTGGTTGGGCAGTTGGAGCCTGGATTCCCCTCGCGGATCATCCGATAAAATTGGAACGATAAAGAGAATATTAGCATGGCCCCCAAGCAAGGATGACACACACACACACACACAAATCGCCAAGTTTTTGGCTGCATCGGGCAGCCCGGACAGCGGGCATTGGTTCAAGGTCTCCCGTGTAATTTCAGGCCACCTGGACGGTTGGAGACAGTTGGAGCCTTGCGGGGAATGCGCCAAACCGTAGTCGTTGCATTTCCAGTCTTTCGAGAACAAGAACGGAAAACAGCCCGGACCGAGGCAAGATACTAGACAAAGCCTGAAAACACTGAGATTCACAAATCTCTGCTGCGAGTCCTCGCTTGAAGCCTGCGCCAAAGCTGTGCGGGCGTCCGAGAGTGCCTTTCCCAAGATGTTCACGGCGTCCTTGTGCGCTACACGACGTGTTGAAATCTGCAGCATTAGATGTGATGCGTTCCGGCTTTGCCAGATTTGATGCGCACCACGATCATGGTGCACACCACACCTTCAACAGCTCATAAGATTGACACCTGCCGGACGCCTTCCAACCTGTTCCGACAGGATGCATACTTGCTGCACTTTCACCACTGTACGCATGGGCCTAAGAACTTTTGCCCCTGTTTTGGTGCGTCCTGGCGCTTGGAGGCAATCTGGTTGTCCAAGTTTTGAAGCATCGCCTTCGTGGACTCCACCTTTAAACACAAAGCACGGGAAAGGAGCTTACATCTGACATTTTCCGATGGCTGCTGGTGGACCCCCAAAACCAACAGCCCGAGGCGACGCCTGCTGCTGTAGCACGCTCTTGTCCAAGCCAGTTTGATCGGCCTTGAGCAGGGCCTGCACCACGAGCATGCCATCGATAGCATGCGTTCACCTTTGCCTCATGATCCACATGCATGCGACAACTAGTATGTTTGAGTGGATCTGCGTGGCCTCGTGCGAGCAAAGCAGCCGGTCTCTTCTTCAGTATGCGATTTCCACAGCATGTCATCCCTGATCCGGGCTCTAACCGCTTAAGGAACACTGAAAGGGACCCGTCGCTGTTGGGCCCAGCGTGATAATCTGAATCGCCTTCGCGCCTTTGGGAGGAGCTACTGTACAAATGCCAGAAGCCACTGAGGCCTCCTGGTCTTCCAGCAGCTTCGTTTCGGAGTCGTGCGTTTTCTTGAGCTCATCCAACGGTGCTTTGTGACCCGCCGCCTTGCGAACGTCATCAACGATGGCAGGCAAAGCCTGTTGCGCCTCGCTGTCGAAAATGGCCAAGGACTGGCTAGGCACTGCACGTTGGGGCTCTTGCTGAGTGGCTGTAGCTGTGCTGGGTTGGCTCGGTTGGGGAACAGCTGGCAGGCTGGCCTGCAGAAGCTGTGCTGCTGGCGGAGCACTTGCTGTGGAGTTCACAGCGGCCGAAGCTTTGTGCTGCTTGTGGTGGTGCTTGTGATGCTTGTGCTTGTGGCGGTGCTGGGATGCGCCTCCAAGAATGTCCAAGCCTTCAGGTCAATTCAGCTCGACACAGAAAGGGAAGCTCGCAAGAATCAACAACCTTTGAAACGGGCGCCTTGTACGCAAGTGGCCAAAAGCGTGAGCACAAACACACGGGCAATCAAGAAGCTCATGGCTTCAATGCCACAGCTAAGCTACGTTGGGATTCAAAGGTTTCCCCTCGACGCTGGCTGCAGAAACGAGCGACAACGTGTCTAGTCGCCGGTGCAGGTGCAGCAGTGGCCTTGCATAAGGTATTCGATCGATCGACTGCATGTCTTCAGAGCAATATTTTCACTCGCAGCGAACTCACAGCGTGTCGCTCACACAGCAGGCAGCGTGTCGACCTCCTCAGCGCACAGTATGTCGCGCCAAGCTCCGTGTAAAACCGCCCAGCCGCACGTGACACTGTCGATTTTCACGCAAGGCTCGTGCTTGTTCCTCCTGGCCAGCTGGGCCCGGGTTGTCCCCAAGGAGTTTCAGGATCACCTGACATCCAATCTGGGATGCCTGCCCGCACGTCGACAAGTCGGGTCGGCAAGTCGGGTCTCGGCCTCGAGCGCATCGCCCTCGACTGCAGCATCCTCTCAGAACAAAGAGATGAGGCGGCTTGTTTGTGAAGAGAAGGACGGGGGAGTTTCCCGTCCTGTGCTGCACTTAGGAAGATGCGGCGTCCAACAAAGGCCTCCTAAGCGGGCTCGACTTCTGTCCCCTGCAGAACTCGTGTTTGTGCCATGCTTCACCCAATTCAATCTACTCACGATGCGGAGCTTGGATCTTCCTGTATCTCTTGTACAACCACAGACCACAGCAGCTCAATACTCAAGACCCAGCCCAGGCACCAAGAAACTGAAGGTGTGGTAGAAAACGCATCGCCTCGTCCCTGCCTGTCAATTCACATGCTGTGGAGCCTATGCCGCTTTCATGCAGAGACAGAGGGGATGTGAAAGCCTGGAGGGAGAATCTGCAAGCGGTGCCGGGAGCTGCCCCGACAAACAAGGCCAGCGGCTGCAGTGCAAGGGGCCTCGGGCATCGTAAGAAAGGGCCGCCATGGAAACTTCAGTGAGCCGTAAACCCGCGCCTGCCCGAAGGCGGTCGTGGCTCAACCTCGCATCTGGCGTTCAAGCCACCAAGAAGTCCCTCAAGCCGGAAAATCAGCACCCGACCAAGTCCTCAGAATCTGGAGACGGGCAGAGACCCACGAGCCTCGCAAGGAGAAAACTCGCAGCAGACAGCATGATTTTGGGGCTCCAAGGCTGGATCAGCTTCATGGAGGGGCATCCCTCCAAACCCAACTGCTCGGACACCTTCAAGAAGGAAGGCATAGGCAGAACGTGCACTGGTCTGATTTGTCCTAAGCTTCCGGCATAAGCAGCCGGGCCGAATCCCTGCTTGCCGGACCAATTCTCGATGCGCCAGGTCTCGGCAAAAGCGGGTCTGCCGTCCTCCTGGTAGCTTCGCTCGCGAATCCGAGCCGCACGCCAGCTCGCATGGATCCGGCGAACGGCAGAGGCGGAAGGCTGCTGGCACCTCCAACCTGGCGGACCGTCCCAAGTGAAGGCCGCACATCGTGTGGCAAATCGTGACTGTGATGCTCAGCATGCACTGCAGTAAGGTCGACGCAATGTAACTTGCAACCACACCTGAATAAAATCCAGCACGAGCCGTGGTCCGGCGCCGCCGGCGCCGCGGAACTTACAGCAGCAAAGCACTTAAGGCTTGTGCTCCGTCGCTGGCTTGGCCTCCTGCTTACGCTCTCGCAACTCGGACGCGGCCTAAGAGTCGCGAAACACCCCAACAACCACCCCAGAACCCGCAGCATGTCACCAGAGCTCCTAATTCAGCGGCTAGATCTCCAAAGTCTGCACTTCCCCACTGTGGACCTCCAGCTACATGCACAGGCGCCAGCTTCAAGACCCAAGGCCGTGGCCAGGCTTTTCTGCGGACCGGCTGCAGTGTGCAAAATCGTGATGCAGCACCTCAGGCTGGGTAGAACAAACACAATGCAATGGGCATCATCGAAATCGCTTGGTTCGGCAATCCCCTTACAGTGTGAAATGAATTGTGCCTCTGGAGCCTGTTTCAGGAAGAGGAACAAGGGGAAGGCTTCGGAATCCAAATCTGCTCGGGACGGGTTCTTAAGTTCAGGGAGAGTCTTGCTGGGTTCCTTTCCGTTTGGCTGCCTATGCCTTTTTCGGCACTCGTCCAATCCCACGCGATGCTTGGCAATCGCGCGAGCGTGTTCGACCTGACATACATATGTCGGTGAGCATTAGCGAATGCAAAGAGGAGGGTCGCTCAGTAGCACAACTCCACGGCAAGCTGGTTTTGGACACCCGCCGCATCACTAGCTGCTCAGAGGAAGCCCAGCACAATTGCATCCCGGCCAAGCCCTGGCTTACCTCGCTGGCGCTGCACGGACCATTGCCCCACCCACCCAGTGGGTTCTTCAGCTAACAAAAGCCTCCTCAGCATGACGTGCCCGCACCACACGCTGACCTCATGGCGACATCGTCGAGCTTCGCCATCAGCTCCTTGGTCTCCTCCTCCCGCTTCGATGCATCTGTTGCCCATTGCCTAAACATGCAGTTCGTTGTCCACGCTTTCAGCATCTCAGCGTGATCGAGTTCGCCGGCTGAACTGGCGGCATCGCTCAGAATTATCACAATATCGAAGTCCTCAGGGTCAAGATCCTCTAGCTCCTGCACCTCCGTAATATCGCCTTGTGCCTCTTCCTGCGCAGGCGGGCTCTCCTGCTCGCAAAACACTGCGGCTGCCACTCCTATCGAACGATCGCCCCGACAGGAAAATAGGACAGAGGCCGCTCGCTGCGCAGCACTGGACGACTCGCTGATGACAACTGCATTGTGCAGGAACTGCGGCCCATAGGTGTCGTCAGACAAGTTTTGAAAAACATTTGGCATGATGCTAACTAGCACGCTTAAGCGCAAATTGGCTGTCATCGCGCGCATTCAGTTCTCGGCTACGATTCCCAGATGCAAGCGCAAACAAGGGAGAATACTCGGAGCTTGGTTTGCCACTCTGCGTAATCTCCCTGCCCCGAGCTCGAAGGTAATGGCCTCCACGCAGGTAGAAGACGGTCGGTGGTGACACATGCCATTGCAAAAGCATCGATAAGCTTGAAGGCGCTCCATCGAGGAGTGTTCCATGTCCGCTTCCGCGATCAGGTAAAGGGAACATCCACCCCTTGTGGGTTCAACTGCATCCGCTTCTCATGCTTCCATGTGCATGTCTGCATGTTCTGTGGCCCCGGCTCGCGGGGGCAGAGGGCATTTCCCACCGGAAACCAGCGCACTTGCATTTTCAATTCCGACCTGTCGAAGATTGTCGAAGCGAAGCCCTCTTTCACCGGCCCCTACATGTTTGCATCGGCGCCTGTCTGATCCTGTGGGCGCCAGGAAAATCTCGGCAGAAAGATGAAACAGCGGCTTTTGCAAAGGCTGGCACAATCAAACCAAGTAACAGGACTCCGGAAACCACCTTCTTCAACGCCTGAACGGGGAAGCACAGTCCTTTGCAAATTGGTTGGGCTTGAAGCTTCTCAGATGCTGACACACACCCAGGCGGAGCCCTAATAGCTTTCCTTGCGGGCGTGGTGTTCACCGAGTATAGACAAAGAGCTGCTAGGTGGCATCCTTCGGGCAACTCGTCCTCAAGGGCATCCTCCTTAAGCCGTCTCTTTCGGATTAGGACCGACTAGCATACAGAAGTTGATTCGGCAAACTTTGGTGCCCTGCCGATGCTTCTATGTCTGTCGGGGCATACCAGCATATGGAAGCGTGTCGAGGCAACCAGCGTAGATCAACTGCGGAGTGCATCAATGAAGTGCTTCGAGAAAGACCCATTCCTAGTGGTACAAGCTCCTGCCTTCACGTCGGGCTGCCGGCAGTTCGACGCATTGGACCGCCTTCACAGCACTCTAGGTTCGTCGCTGCCACAATCGCAACGACAAGCATAGGCTGGTGCTCGCAAGTCCAGCTTCTTCAAGCCTGCACGGGGCAATTGTCCGATGCATTTTGTTAGCTAAGTCGCTTGCTACGTAACATGGCGGCCCATGACAGCCACGTGTACCCGCGAAACAAAACCACTGTAAAACTAAGTTCATGCGACACGAACACATGCAGCATATGCAGATGTAGAAGATAATGGTTTAGCCAAGATTGGATTACGGCCCCGTAGTGTATCTCCGGGCATTTCATTCGTGCGCAGTCCAAGTCAGGAGACATCAGGCGACATCGGACCTAGCCTACCGCTGGCAAGCTCAGCAGGGATCCAGAAGCTGGGAGAAGAAGCCACTGGATTTATGTTATGCTACAACAACTGCAGGGCATGAGACCATGAGCCATGAAAGAGAATCATGCGTACTGAATTTTTGACGTCTCTTCCCCAAACGTTCTATTGTAGCCGGAGGTCCACCACACAACTCTACAAAAAGCATAATTGGACGCAACAAGGTGAATCCAAACAGCCGGGAGAACTGCCTTGATTCTTATTTGCCACTTCTAAACCCAGAGTTTGAAAGTGCTCAATTCAGACGTGCAGTTCCAGAAGCGCGGTGAAATAGCAAAGCTCATCACAAGCAATAGGGTGGAGGATCAAAAAAAATTTAAAAGGGATCAAAAACAAATTTAGGCTGAACGGATCAGAAAAAATTAGGAAGGATCAAAAAAAAACCTAAGGATTGGAGATTTGCTGCAAACAACGGCCGGTGCTATTCCAATATCTCCGCATCGAAACTGTGCGAAACTACGGTGTCAATCCCGGAAAAGTCTGGGACCGCGTAGAGGGTTCGAACGGTTGGTGTAACCAGAGTTGCTGGCCATGGCTGCGTGGGTCAAGCAGCTCTATTTGCCAGGATGAGATTCCAATAGTTCAGCGTCGGAATTTTGCGACGCTATATACATGGTGTCAAGGCCACAAAAGGCCACAAAAGCCTGGCACAGCGTGGAGGGCTTCGACGTTAACAGTTGCCGGCCATGGCTGCGTGCGCAGGATATTCGGAACTCGCCAGCTCCGCGTCGAATGAATATATATATATATACATATATATATATATATATATATACATATATATATACACACACATACACATATTTGTACCAACTGTACCCCTTGAATAAAGATGCATTTGTCTTTTGATCGTTTTTCGTTGTTTTAATTGATCCCTTTTTATTCTCTTCTTTAATGCCTTTACATTTTCTTGTCGATCCGATTTTTGATCCGTCAGCTAGACAATCTCCATCCTGGTCCAAGTCTTGTGCCACGGCAGACATGCCACGAAAACAAACGGACAGCGTCATCTTGCCCAAAGGAAGGCAGCGAGGCTTCGCTGATCAGGTTTGCGAGGCCAAAAAGCGAGGAAGCCGACAAGGCCCAGTCAGCGTACGCATGTTATCTGGAACCCCAGAAGCCAAGAAGCGCAGAAGCCAAGAACTCGAGAAGCCAAGCTGCCCAAAGCCAAGAAGCCAAGAAGCCAAGAAGCTAAGAAGCCGGCAAGGAAGCCCAGAAGCCAAGAAGCCAAGAAGCCAGAAAGCAAACCGAGCCCAGAAGCCAAAAAGCCGCGGAGCCTGTCAGCGCAGAAACCAGTAGCCCAGAAGCCGAAGGCTGCCAATCGAGGAAATAGGCAGATTACCTCATAAACGCTAAGTTTGTTGTTGATTCTTTCTAAGTATTTTTTGATCCTTCCTAAATTTGTTTTTGATCCCTTTTAAACTTTTTTGACCCCTCTCCCAAGCAATATGGGGCCGCAATATAGAAAATGGCCGGTGCACGGTCGTGGCTCGAAGAACAGGTAATCCTTCTCTTCGGAGCTCATGACACATGCTCAGGTCTTGGCATGCAGAATACGCGCTGGAAACCTGCCAAACAAAATAACATGCACCAGCTCGCAGTTGACGCCACTCTCGTCAGCCCAGTCGCGCGTGACGGGGAGCTCCGGGAAGCTCCCATGCACGCACGGGCGTTGTGCTTGCGAATGCCGCCAGGTGCAAATATCCGGAGCTTTTCACGGCACGCCGGTGCCGCGTGGTAGTGTTTGGCATCGAAATTGGGGACCGCTGGGCACCTGAAGCGGCCAACCTCTTTCGCGTGCTTACGTGTGCGCGCGCTGCCTCGGCCGGCTGCCAAGCCGCCTGGGTCCTGCGTTGGAGCCAGCGTGCGCTAGCCGCCTCTTTGCTGCACCTCCCTCTCGCCAACGAGTGCAGTGGTAGCAGCAGCTTTTGGCTGACGTGCGCCAGCACGAACGCGAACAGTGCCGTAGGCCGGCTGTGTACGCGGACCACGAGGTTTGAGACGGTTCCAAAAAAACATTTAACGTCAAGATTGCATGCACCAAGCAGCAACTACAGTATGCGCAAGCGGAAGGGAAACCGTCCAAGGAGTGTGCATCTTTCTGTGCGTGCCATCACATAACAGCAAATTCCAGTCAGTCATAAAACCAACCAGCACAGAAGAACAAGTGTGAATCTTGCGATTCTTCCGTGGAATCGCAGCAGAATTGAACACACGTTCACACAGTTGAAACACCCGTGCCCAACATGTGCATCTTTTGGACTTCTCGCACAAAACATGCAGAGTTTTCACGAAATTTCTGCAGAAGAAGAAGTGCCTCCATCCTTGCACAGCATGCGACCAGACCTTCAGGACAAAGCTGTCAGAACGCTATGGGCAGAGAACTCAGAAGCCCATGAGCGAAACACACATTCGGAAATCGCCAACGATACTCGCGAAGATCCTCCACATCCACCTCGACGAGTCTTCAGCTGCCACGCTTGCAACAAAACAGCTGCTGGCCTGAACGGCGCGCCCCTTCAATCCTGCAAACACCGACACTTTCTCAGAACGCATATACAATCGAAAACCTTGCCTTCAACTGCAGACACGACAGCTCGACAGCAAATACACACCTGCATTATTCAGCCCAATTGTGTTTCAACTGACCGTCCGGCGACAACAAGCCTGGATGATGTCGCTCGACCATAAGAACCTGGCCCACCTCAGCTTTTACGGCAGAACCGCGGGAGAAGCGTGTGGTCTAGGCCAGCAACGATTCATGGACAGCGGCCAGCCTCGGCGCAATAGACAATCCAAGGGTTGAGAGCAAAATCGGATAGCTTGAACAAGTAGGATCGTGACACAGATGCCAAGTTCACCAGCTCCGCCATCGTGGAAGGCGGTCATGCTTTTTTACAACGCTCAATGCTCTCGGTCGTTGCTTCGTGCATGCTAGACCGTCGCTAAACGATGGTTGGTGATTGACGACACCGCCGGGGCCTGAAGCCAAACAACATACACAGCATGCATGACAAGCCCGAATAAACAGCGTGCGATGATGGGGCCGCAGCAACCCATGTACCGGAACATCCGCATTCGCATTTCTTACCTATATCTTGCTGCGCAGGGCAGGAAACCGTGCGGGTATCGTTGGGCAAAATGCAAAACGAAACACACGAGACACAGTAGCAGAAGTGTTGGGCTGGTACAAAGGCTCGGACACACTCCCACACGCCACCAGATGTGGCTGCGGCCTCAGTTGGACGTCAGGGTGCGTTGCGTAGCTGCAGCCGCCGAGTGCACGAGACTGGGGTCAAGCGCATCAGAAAGCGACGGCATGGACCACACGCCAAGTTCGGAGCGGGCGACAGCTCGCTGCAGGGCAACCGACCGCACACTCCACCAGCGGCGCGCCCAGCCCTGGGCTGCAAAGGCTCGCACGGGGGGTTGGGGGCGCATTGGACGCGGAGGAGGAACTGCTAGCACTCGTCGCTCCAGCTGCGGCAAATAAAACGAGCCGTTCCGGGATGCATGCGACTTTGCATTTGCGCGCTGCAACAAGCGCAGCCCGCGCCATGTCGGTTCCGGGGACGGGTCGGTCGGAACGAGTGAGTGGGGACACGAGCGTTTGCTGCGCAGCGCCATTGGCCTTGTCCCGTAGACACCTCACAAACTCGAGAAATCAAACAATTGACGTCGAAGCCAAAGCTACAAACTTCAGTTTCGTTTGTTAGCCTTTCCTTCGAATCTAAATTGCAAAGTCAGAATCTTAAATCCGAAACAAACGTTCGGGAAGGGAAGTTTGGCGGAAATACCCTTAAAACTGCCGCTTGAAGTTGGTGGCAATTTCGTAAAATTTGAATGTTGAAAAGCCTATTGAACCTACAACCAAACTGCTTCGCAACTGCCACCCGACTTCCTCCAATCTGCCTCGAAAACTTGCATCGAAACTGCCCTGCACAGTGGATACGTGATTTAGCCAATAGAACGAGCCAATAGAACGTGTCCTTTTCATGTCGGCTTCGTCGCAAACTTTACCACGCGACGTCAGCTCAAGCTTCCACTGCCACGAGACCGACATGTCCCCTCGCCACTCCACAGTTGCGAATTACGACTAACGAACCCTGCGTCCGAAACGTACCCAAAAAAAACAAGGAAGTGTGCACACGTCATGCACCCAATTGCGAACGAAACTTTCGCCGGACACCGGGCCTGTCCAATGGCGACAGCAGCAACAGCGGCAGGAGTGAGCAACTGGAAGCGCACGGTGCTTCTTGCCAGCTGCATCACCGTGAGCACTTGGAGACTTCCTCGTCGTGCCGGTAGGCGGTAAAGCCCGTTCCGGACCAGCTGCAGGCCTTGAAGTGCTTTCGACGGCGACAGCAACAGCGGGACTGAGCAACACGGAGCGCACGCCTTTGGAGCCAGCTAAAGCAAAAGGGAGCACTGGATGACTTCCCCCTTGCGCGGCAGAAGCACCTAGCCAAAACGGGCATGGTTTTTTTCTTAGCCGGCTTTTCCTCATGCTGACGGTACCCCCCCTTATGCTCATCTGGTTTCTTGCTGTGCGAACCTGGCTTTTCCCGTCTGCTCCCTCCCCTGCCTCCCCCCTCCCCCGCCCCATCCTTACGCTGGACTCCGCCCCCTGACCTCTCCCCTTTTCTCCCTGCTGTCCTGCCCTGCCCGACCCTCTCTTGTGGCAGGCAGGAGAGAAATCAAGCTGTCGGAGAAGTCCCATGTGCAAGGTCTGCTGTTGCAGCAAACTATTGGGGAAATCCAGTGGAGTAATCCCACTCATTATAGCAGAGGAGTAAGCTCTTGGGAAGTCCCTTTCTCTTTGTGCAGCAAAATCTTGGAGAAGTACCATTTGTAGGGCTGTCTTTTGCAACAAGCTATTGGGGAAGTCCCATTTCTGGTGTCTTTTCTTGCCCAAAGGCCGAGCACATGAAACCCAGCGGCTCCACGCTCGGCTGCGCTGACTCCTGCGTGTCGGGTGCGGGCTCCGACGCACATCTGTGGACGTTGGGGACGGCCCAAACCCGTAACCCTTCTGGAAAACAAGCCTCCGCGAGCCGCAGACGGGGCAAGGACCTGAAAGTGAAAAATAGCTACACAGAAGAACGTGTTTGGGGGGGTCTGCTGGAAACCTGCCTGATCTGCTCCTCACGCCTGTCTTGTGAGCAGTCAATCAAGCTGTCCCGCGACTCTGTGCATAGGACCACGGGAGCTCGAAACCTTTGTACATGTCGCCTTTAAAGCCACCATCCACCAAACTTCATTCTGAGGTGTTCTTGAAGCCAACCCTTGGGGTCGTCCCTTGCGGCTTCTCAGAAGGATCTATGGTTGCCCATGTGTTCTCTTGCGACCGCGCAGCGTTGTTTCCGGCACGCTGTCGAGATTGGGTGGCCCCCCACACAGAGCGCAAGCGTACTTCGCGTGCTCGCACTCTGCGTGCAGGGCATAGTTGACGCATGTGCCGACTTTGTACACATGATCGCCGCGGCGACCCCGGGCCAATAGGCGTACACACAGTGGCCCTTACACACTACAGCACTTTGCACTTGCACTTTGCCCGTGCGAGTTACGAAAACTACGGTCCTTTCAGGACAAGGCAAGGGACAACGGTGGGGTGTCTTGTTAATCGTGTGAAGCCGTCGCGAACTGTACAAAATCATCTCGCATTGAAGGCCATATTGGAAAATGTGCTACATCAGACCATGAACTATGACCACGGGAAGGCGCCATTACAAATCTGTTCAATTCATCATCCCATCGCTTGGGAAGGCGACCCGGCCGACGCTTTCGCTCACTATTGAAAATGTGCTGGGACGTGGGGCTCCAAGTTGCCACACGTAGTGGCCAGGCATGCTTGACAAACTACAACATAATCAACAAAATACAGCCTTGCGATTCAGGACGTGGTGCCCCCTTGTTGCGCTTCCAGGATGCCGGAAGCCACGAGCAAGGGCGTCAGATCCGCGCCGTGCTTGTGAAGCATCGGCACAAGGTTCGTGCAAGCGCCTGCGGGACATCGTGTGCATCGCAGCTATGCAGCTATATCTGTCCCTTCCCTGCCCGTGGCCTCGCCTCACATGACCCAGAATGTCTACTCGGACTCTTCCGTGCTTGGCCAATGTGGCATTCCAGTGCCTCTGAGTCAGGCATAGCTTCGCGTAATCAATGCTCCCAGATTGTCGCACACCTTCCGGCATATCATTATCGCCGTCAAGAAGTAAATGCGATGCTTGATGTAATTCTGGTTCTGGCGTCCCTGTGGCGTCCCTTCCAATAGTCTATGGCTGGGGTGCGCCCTTGCGACCGCAGGCTCGCACTGTTCAGCAAATACTCGGTCTCGTCGGCAGAGTAAGCAAACATTTGCATAGGCTTTCTTTTCTTTGTTTTCTTTTTCCCGGCAGCCCAATGTCTCAAACGGAAGTGCCTACCTGGCCCTACGGAGGCGCACACGCCAAGGCACTAGCGAGGCCCCTGGCGGCTGCCAACAGGCGGAAGCTGCCACCGCACGTCGGCGAGGACCTCGTGCAGATCCGGCGGCTCCCCGGCAACGTTACACTCGCCCGCGAGCGGAAGCTCCAACAGGGAAACTGCGACGGCGCGCTGTGCTGCGACTGCGGGGGGCCCCGACCAACGGGCAACCCACGCCGTTCGCGCGGCCGCCCGCATGTTAGCTTGCACGTCGGAGGCACGCTGCCCGGCGAGCAACCGGAGCCAGGTGGCCGCTTCTGCGCCAAACCGGCCCCCAACTTCGACACCAACCACCACCAAGCGGCAGCGACGAATGCGCACAAGCTCGGGGTAGGTCTGGTGACGTTTGCGTCGGGCGGCTGCATCGACCGCTCGCCCGGGGTGCATCTGCTCCGGGCTGCGCCGCACCCGCCCGCGTCACAGGGCTAACGATGGTGGCATCAACAGCCTGCTGCGCGCCGTGCCACTACGACAACCCGTTCGCGACAACTTCGACGCGGCGGTCATCGCGGCGGACGTTGCGGGCGACCCATGCGCCAGCTTCGTGGCACACTCTCGCCACCGCCCGCTCGAGAGGAAGGGTGCGAGACGCGAGCACACCGGCATTCGCACATGCAGCCCTGTGGTCGCCGAACGGGTCCAGGCGACCGCGGCAGGCGCAGGTGTGCGGCGCAACTGGCAATGGCAGACGAAGCCGTCGTAACAGCAGGACGCGGAAGAGTGGCGACGGCACCGTCAACTCAGCTGAGGTCGGGAAGACTGCAAAGGCGCGTGCAGCGTGCGGCCCGGCCTGCGACAGCAGCAGCGCTCGAGATGCGGCATCAGTGTGAGAAAGATGCACCTCAAGCGCGCGCTTGTCGCTGTTGCGGGCAGCACGATGCTGCCAGCCTCGCAGAAACTCCCCAAACTCACGTTCCTCCTGCGCGGGCCGTGCCTGCAGCAGCGAGTCCCAGGCGGGAGCGTCGCACCCCTGCTCCGTACCCCTGCTCTCGGAGGCAAGCGGCTGCGCGCCGTGCTGCTGACAGGGGCATCGCAGCCTCGGTGGAAGACTCCAGTGCACGGACCAAGCGAGCGGTTGCCTGCGGCGCCCTTGCTCGAATGGTCGGCAAGCAGTCCGCCCAGGATGCCGAGTAGGCGGCGGGGGCGGCGTCGACTGCCGAGCGCACACCCAGGCCTCCATACTGTAACGGCAGCTGTGCGAGGCGCTGTGAATGCTGAGGCAGAAACAGCGGAGGCCCGGAGTCCTGCGACAGCAAGGTCGCCATGCATGCACTCACATCAGCGTCATGCTCACGCGCAAAAGCCTCAGTCGCGCCGGGCGGGAGCATCCGGAGCAAGTAGTTGGCACGTGGGGAAACGCAGAAGAGCAACAGGAGCCACGCAGGCTCCAGGTCCCCGACATAGGCTTGCCCCGCTCGAAGACTGTCATGACTGTCACCCATTTCGAGCATAAGTGCCGCATGCCGCGGAGGGCTGTCAAAAGCCCGTCCTTGGTGCGACTTTTCAATTCCGCCTCCCACGACGAATGCCGTGCCTCTAAGGGGTTTGGACGTTAGTACCCTGTTGTACCGCCGCCACTGCCCGGGCTGGTGCCGAGGATGCTCACCCAGAAACTTGGCACAATTCCCAAGGATGACCTGCCAGATGGCATCTGCCAGCTGCAACGCGGGTAGGCACCTGCAGTCAATCGAACGCTCTTCTTGCGCGAACGTTGACACAAACATCTACGGACTGTACGGGCTGCAGTCTGCAGCAGCCTTGTCGTGTCCGACAGCGTCGGACACGTTGGCCACGGCTGGATCCAGCTTCTTTCTGCCGGGTGCCTTCCTTGCTGACTGGCCGAACTTCTTATGGAGGGTGCGGGCCAAAGCCTGCTTGTAGTGGTAATACTCCCCCACCAGTCACATTTGGAAACACGGCGCGGCGCGCAGCAGCGATGCCCGGCGCATAGTCGGAATGCACCTGGACAAGTTGCGTCTTTAAATCAATTTTCGTGATGTCTTTGCAAAGCCAGCAGAAATCCTCGAAAATCGCCGTCAAGTTCTCCACTGACTCGCTGCTCACAATCGCTTGCATGATGGGCTGCGCATTGGACGTGTAAGCTTTGTATTGCTGGCGTCTGCCTGCGATCATGGCAGCACTTGTGCCGGACGGACGTAGACTGCGAGCCGCGAGGCATAAGGTCACAACACCATAATTGTCAGCGATAGCTCCCATACTCATCTCAACCATAAGCCGAACGCGATGCTTTGCGGCATGTTTCAAGCGCAGCAGCATGCCAGGACACCACAACGGGACGGAGACCATGCCTTCCTCGACGACCACACCATTAGGTCACGTCAACACCAACCGTTGTGATAGGTCTCAAGCACACAAGTCCTTCGGCACATCAGCCTGCCACGACTTCACTTCAGCCAATAAGGCCTCTCTTGGAACAAGTTGCCAGCACTGCCCGCGGCCAGCCGTAGCCCCAGCCACCGCATGGCACCAGCGTCCAGGGCCCTCCGCTCCACCGCGTACTCGACCCCGCTGAGGCCGAAGGGCCGAGCCGCCTGCCGCTGCGACCCTAGGCTTAATAGCAGCGTGTAGGCCTTGGGTTCCCGTCGGCCACGCTGAGCGGACAGGAAGTGGGCAGGAGCACAAAGCGTCCGAAAAAAAAAACAGGCTTGGCACGTGAGGCAGTGCTATGCTTCCGCCTCAATTGTGTAGCTGCCCCGAAGCACAGCTGAACTCCAGGCCCACACAACGCAATGCTTCGCACAAACTCATATGCACGCCAGAGTCAACATGGTCTTTCACCACATCTTGCACTTCTGTGGACAGTAGCCGGCCGCCTTGCGCTAAAGCTTTGCGGTCACGCTGGCCACGACAATCCACGGTCACTTTCCCCTCGGCTGGACCACCTATCCACACAGCCACACGGGCGCATCCAGGCTTACATTCCGCGCAAGGCTCCCACAACTTTTAGGCTGCATCGCCACCTTCTGTGACTGTCTCGCTTTCGTGTAAAAGCAATGCTCACGGCTTTCGTGCCTTCTGGCACGCGCGCTTAGCCAGATTCGTTGCATCCGCGAGGTTCGAGGGTAACACCTCTGCCGAACCGCTGTCGGTGTTCTCATAGTCTGGGTTGCTCGAATCACCCGTCTTGCTGCAGACATGCGACGGAAGCCGGACCTTCGCCACTTCAGCAAGGCTGGAGGGCAGTGTCGGCATCAAGCCACTGTCATGCTCTGGATTGTCCGTCTTGCTGGGCGCCTGGGGAGACAGCCGCGCGCGTGCTGGACGATCCTCCGATAGTCTTGCACTGAAGCTGTTTGTGACACACACACACACACACAAACACTCCACAAAGTGCTCGAAGAAGTGTGGTGGAACGCCCCATGCGCGGATTGTGCTTTGCACTTGCGCTGACATGTTTGTCCACCGGTGTATGACGACATGGGCCATGCCTTGGAACTTGCACGCATCATGCCCATTCCATGCCGCTCGAAGTGTTGGCAAGTCGAGAGCATCTTCCTGCACGCGCGCTGGTCCTCGCAGTAGACATGGCGGCACACGGGCACAGACCGGCCGGCACTGTCCGCGAGAACGCTTGCACCGGGCGACTTATGCAGAAGCTTCACGGCGACCTTATTTCACTACTCCTTAAAGCTCTGCAACGCTACACGGTCGCACCATCCAACATCGACAGCAGTCTCTGCCGTTGCACGCCATGGAGCTGCGTCTATGCCGGAGGCAGCCTCCTTAGAGGGTGAACGCCATCGCGGGACGAGCTGCTTTATGCCTCTATATTGACAATGCCGCGAAACCCTATACATCTTGTCTTCCAGCTTTGCATCGGCCCACTGCCGACGGACCCGAACGCACACTCAAGCTTTTGACTGGCGGGAGCATACGAGTGTGTCAGAAATCTTTCCGTCGGAAACTTTCACAAGTAATTCTGGTCAGGGTCGTTTTTCTCCTACACGCGTTTTTATACGATCCACGACGCGGACAAGGCGAACAGCGCAGACCACCGCCGGGCGCGCCGATGTGACCATTGCTCGCAAGCCGCCTGACGAGCTCTGCGGCCCGCCAGGGTCAATGCCCCCCAACCTCAATGCCCAGGACAACTAGGCGGCAACCGGCTGCCATGTGCGAGTTCTGGGTAAATCCGGGCCTTGGCATGCTCAGCGGGCCGCGACTCCTGTCCTGATGCATGACCTAAATATTGTTGCAGGCTAAACTGCGCATTGAAGCCATTGCTACTGTAACGGCCTGCGTCTGTGGGGCGGCATCATGCAACTCCGCAATCCTCGTGTATGGCCGGCAGCCATGCCCAGCCTACGCTCGTTATTGCGGACACCACGATTTTTCAGATGGGCGTGCAGCTCGTCACCGCAACATGAGCATATCCAGACCGCGCCAGTTTCGTGCGATCGGTGCTGGTTCGCTTGAGCACGCCCTTCCCCGTGCAGCGCCCTCTCCAGCATCAGCACGCCGGTTCCATTCCTCGTGTCGCCGCTGCACGGTTCACGACTGATGCTTCCGGTAACACGGCACACGACATTTGTCGCAACATGTTGCATTTGTTGAGCACACACCAAGCGCCGCTGCGGAAGAAGTAGTTACGGGCCGAGCCGCCTGCCGCTGCGATGAGTCGGCCCTAACCCGAAACTTACTCTTCGCAGATTGCTTGGAGCGGGACACAGCCGTTGGGGGACTGTGTTGACAAAAGTTCGTTTGATCGCTGCACGTTTGATACGAATGCGTTCTTGAGCATCGGATGTCGGTGCCGGTGCTGATTCTCACTTTTGGTATCGTTCGTTTTTTATTATCCGGAAAAGCATTGGGCTGTGCGGGAATCGCGTGACGGAGTCGATGTTGGTTGTTTCTGAAACTGACATTCCATTGTGTTGTCTCAAGGTTTCGACCATGACACGTGGTCATTACTGCTTGCGGGCGCCGAGACCGGGATCCGGGGGGACACCAGCGTTGCATTGCAACAGAGCGCACCGCCGCTTGCCGTGGCGCTACAGACAACCATGCATGCACCAGTACACGCATACCAAAGCCATGAATGCAATGTCGCAATCATGTCCAAACGTCGGCGATCGTTCGATCGGACCCGCGGTGCGGGCAAGCCACTGTTGAGGCACGACCTGCCCTGCGGCTCCGACCGCTTCCCTGGCTACTCGCATGCCACCGGTAACCATGCCCGCTCCACCGGTCGGGTCCACCTTGCTAACAACCCCGTGCTTATAGACAGGCCACAGCCTGGTCCCGTGACTCATCGAGCGCTCCTCCACACCCTGGGCTGGGGCCGCATCGCTGCGGGCTCAAAAGCAAAGGCAGCCGCAAGCGCCGAAGCAGCGCTAACAACATGGCTTGGGGTATGAGGTTGCTGCGACGCTCGCATGGGATGGCCTGCCGCGATGCCCCTGCATGCGGGCCAGCTTGTGAGTGGAGCAGGGCCTGGGAACTCGGCTGCTCGGCTGCAAAGCTGGCGATAGTACGCAAGCGCGATAATGTTGGTTGTGAATCCGCGCTGCGTGAAATTGCCAGCCATGCGGCCCGTCCCCGGAGCTTCCATCCCTGGAGTGTGCTGGGCGCCCACCTTCCTTCATGGCTCGCCACCTGGGGGATTCAGTCTAAGGAGCGCACGCGCTTCTTGTGCCTCGTTTTTTGCACACGAGGGGCGGGTGCTCCATGTTGTAGCTCTCGCAACTAGCAGTCGGCCCATTGGGGAGTCGCGCGTGGATGACGGGTAGCGCATCCGTCCACACAGCCCAGTACGCAGCATGCGCCGTCCGCACAGCCCACTGTAGGCCGAGACCACCTTGCACGGTGAGGAGGGTCGCGATTTGACGGGCATGGACTGCCTCCTTCTCGGAAACCCCTTCCCAGACACTCTTGCAAGGTTTGCCAGATGGCTTCATCATGTGCGGGCGCACAGGCAACCGACTGCGAAGGGGGTATGGTGCGGATAGCGTGGTTGGCCCGTGGTGCTGCGCACGTGTGCAGTATACCAGCCACGCGCACTGCATTTCCGGCAAGTGCGGCAAATTGTCCAGCAATGTCCAGCAGTTGACGCTCGGCGTGCAGACGTGCCACAGCCCAGGCACTTATGAAATCGGGGTGGCCAACGGGCAAGCCCAGAACGACGATCCCTCGTTCAGACGGTGGCTTGTCGCTGCGCCAGACATCGTCGACCAGCTGGGCGATGCCTGGTGGTGGCGGACCGACCACGGCAGTCACGACTCGGGTTTTTCCCAAATTGGAAGCTATGACGCAGCGGTGCTGCCACGTCTTGATGTTGCGAGTGAAAATCACCTTTCTTTGATTTGTTCACGAACCTTTGTACCAACGTCCGAAGCAGCGTGGTCCCAGCACGCAAAGACGCGCAGAGCTCATTCACACCACACGGCTGGCGGATGGCTGGGAAAGCAAGTCGGCGAAGATGTCCAGAAGGCTTGCTGCGAACGAGTGCACAGCAGCGAAGGACAGGAGCACAAATTACCGGAAAGTAAAAGCCGAGATGGCGGCAGCGCGTGAGGGTTGCGGCGCAAATGGCGCCCGGCACCTTGCCAGCAGAAGGATAGAAGTAGCGCCTCGGCACTCCAATGCCCCCCTATCTCGAACGCAACAATGAGCCGGCAGCGGTTGGACCTGCACAACTCGGGGTATGTGCGCTCTTCGGCTCGTCTTGCAGTACGCAAGGCAACTCCGGAAGTCCGGCCCTCAGCCCTGTGTGGGAGGCCAGCAGCAGTTGAGTCGACTGCAAGCTGGGCGCCACCCTACAGCAGCAGGCCATTGGCGATGACCTCAATGCGTCGGTCGATTTTTCGTTTCACCCACCTTTTTGCAAGTGCAAGTTAAGGAGGTTCAGGTCCCGGTGCCAAATGCAGTCTACGGCGGCGGGTCGCGCTTCACGCACAGGCAAGGAGGCGGCTGGGCTCAGGAGCCTCCTGCCAGCGAGCTTTTGCAAGGACCGAGACCCACTCTGAGCAGTGAGAAAAGCTGCGCAAAAAACAAAAGGAGCTCTTGCAGAGCTGGTGGCGGGCCAGCAGCACCAAGCTCCGACTGGAGGGAGAGCTCCGGGAAAGTGGCAGCGAGGGCGCGCTGCGCGCGCGCTGCGCCGCAACGGAGATGAGGCCACTCCAGCCAAGAACCCAGGCGGCCTGGGCGGAGTTGCGGACTGCGGTAGGGCCACTTGCTGCATGCGCCCGGGCAAGGAGGCGAACAAAGGTGGCAGCTTCCTCAGCCCAGCGTCCGCCCACCTCGAGTCCGAAAACGACGAGGCGACAGCGTCGGCTTCGGTCGATCTCGGGGTGCGTACGGGCGTGGCGTCAACGGCAAGTTGTGCCGTAACTGCTGAAGTCACTATCTCTTTCGCGTGGTCAAACGATGTCTCAATGTCTCAATGCATACATGCAAAGCATCCATTTCTTGGCATGTCCCAACTGTTGCGAACAGACGGCAGAGGCTGGCGAGCTTTCGTCCCTCGCAACATCTTGAAGCGTCGCTAAGCGATGAGCGCTGCGCATCGTACCGCAATCTGCCGTCGGGATTGCCAGAGCAATCCTGCGGCGGAGACTGTCCGTGGATCTACTTGTTTTGTGATATATGTCGACTCGCCGCTGCACCTGAACTCGCTTGGCGAGCTAGGATGCCGGATCACCGGGAAGAAATCATCGGTGCCTTTGTTATGTTCACAGACACGAAACTCCAGACCGCCCGAGCTTCTCCAACTACAGGGCGGCCTGTCACTTGACGAAAGCACGGTCTCAGGGCATAGCCGCCGTATGCCAACATGTTCCAGCAGCATTTGCTTCTTCCATCTTGCGGTTTGAATCTGCACATCCACCGCGATCCTCTTCAACACTCTAGATGGCGAAGCCAAGCTATTGATTCCTCGCTTGAGCGCCAAGGCTTGAAGGACATGAAGTCGCCACGGCATGCCCCGGCTCCTTGCTGATAGAAGTGCACTTCCACGATCCTTCTGCATGGGCAGACAGCAGTCCGAGAAGTCCACGAAGTTAGTAACAAAGAGGATTCGACGGCCTCAGAAGTGCTTGCAGTTCGGTTGAATAACCCCACCAGCGTGTATGCTACGCCAATCTGGTAGCCATCTAGAAGGATCTCTTTGCTTTGCTGGAGCTTGGAGGATCCTGCTAGCACTCAGCCACAGAGGAGACAGCGTCCCTTGGAGGATCTCTCTCTCTCTCTCTCTCTCTCACTCTCTCTCTTCTATGTTCAAGCTGATCACTCAAATCCTCTTTACCTGTAACATGCAGACTCGACCCAGCAAAAGCCTCATGGACCAGGGGCCTAAAGCCCTGAGCTGCTGGCCCAAACCCCCAAGCACCGCAAGGGTTGTGGAGCTGGAGGGCAACCGAAGAGCACCCGTTCATCTTGTGCGGGAGCTGCCTGTGCCGTTACGGTTGAACGGCTCGGAAGCAGAATGTTTGAAAGTTTCGTGAGCGGCGACGTGTGTTCTCCAGAGGGCAGCTGCCGAGCCTTCCGCTTGCGCACACGTCCGACTTCCGAGAGAGATCTCCAGAATCTCGAACTTCGAGGTCTCGTCAGCAGAAATAGGCACCAAGCGAGCTGGCCTGGGCCCCAGCTTTCCAACGGTCAGCGCTGGTTTTCAAAGACTGTTCCGACTGAGGGCCTGGCTGCGAGACTCGACGCGGGATCCCCCAGCTGACTGGCGAGCTTCGCCAGGACGTCTTGGGACGACGAGCAGCGGGGGCCCCCGGCCCCGGGTCGCAGTTGCAGACAGATGCGCGAGGCACCTTCTTCGGCTCCAAGGATGCGAAGCCTCGCTGTTTCCAGACCCAAGGATGCGGCGAGAACCTCCGAGAGCTGGTGCTCCAAGCCGCTTCGCAATGGCCGTGCCAGTTGCAGCGTTGCCTGCACCGTTGCCTCGGCGGCCTCGGCGACCTCGGCGGCTGCAGTGCTCCTGCGAACCTCTGCAGGGGCCTGCTTGGTCACGGGTGACGTCACAGGTTCTGGCTGGGGCTCGGCCTTCAATGGCACCTGTGCCGGTAATTTTGCGGCCAACTTGGCCAGCAACTGTGCTGGCTGTGAAGCCGAGTTCAAGTCCACGTCTCGAAGAGACGATTGCCCCAGTGACCCCTGGGAGCCAACAAGCCACTGCAGCACGCGGGTTGATGACACCCGGCCTCCTGGCTTCACTCCAAACCGCTCGAAGAGCAACTGCACCAGATCATCCACATCCGTCCGTGGCAGACTCGGAGCCTCTGCAAGCATCACCGTCAAGCCAAGGGCATCGAGCGTCCCGTCTGCCCGGGAATGCCTCAGCACAAGTTCCTCCATCCTCTGCCGCGATCCTTTTGGGACCCCTCGCAACCGAGCCAAGGCCTCGGCTTCCAAGTGCCAGAGTTGGGCCCGCCGCCGCTTGGCGGCCTCCGCTCGGCTCCGGAAGAGCCGAGCGAACTTCTCCGCGCAAACGGCGCCGGAAGGCTCGGTGCAGCCAAGGGCCAGGAAGACGCCTTCCAAGCAGCCCCAGCTCAATTCCAGGCCGCGGAACTTCAGAGCTCTGGCCACATCCTGCCTCTGCAGCCAAGCAGGGTTGCCGACCTCCAGGAAATCCAAGGCCAAGCTTCCAGACTCGTCCGCAACTTCACGAATCACTTGGTCAAAGCTCTCTTGCACCGCAAGGATTCGCGACCGAAGTAGCTCCAGAAAAGTTTCGACGGAACGACTTCCTCTCTCCTTGATGCTGTTCACCAGGGCAGAGGCTTCCGTGAAAGTCAGGAGCGGTTCCAGATCTTGAAGAGCTTCCGCCAGCCGCTTTCCGTCGAGGTGTGGAACCGCCGCTGTTAGCCCCTCAGCGATCAAGTCAAAGCTCCGATGGGCTAGCAGCAGCAGGGCTGCAGAGACATCCCCAGGATCGACGTGAATTTCCAGCTTCGGTGCTTCTCGAGAAAGTTGCAACAGAACCGGCGCCAGTCCGGCATGAGCACAAACCTGAAGCTTGCCGATGCTCGTGTCGTTGACGACCGCAGAGACGTCCAGCTCACCATCGAAAATGGTCTTGTACCCTTGCAAACTGATCATCTCTTGCGCGGATTCCTTCTGGAAAGCTTCGAGCAGCAGCTTCGCAAGACCACAAAGCTCTGCACCGCTCCAGAGTTGAACAAAGATGCAAGCGGGAGAGGGCTCCGTGCAATCGAAAGTTTCTCGCTGAACCTGCCAGACGCTGGATGCTGACACCACCGACTGCCCGAAGACCACATCGCGACCGATGCCCAAAGCCTCTTTCTGCACACTCATGCTGATCTCCTGCTGCTGCCCGAGCTTTAGCACTGCACGGAGTTCGGAAACCGAGCTCGGAGTCACCAAGGGGCTGAAAGAGCCAAGCCAAAGTCTGATATGGATGCTGCCTGAGTCACTGCGGCCGCGGACTCTTCTTGAAGACTCCACTTGTCTGAGCACCCCGCAATCATCGGCCGGTGCCGGCCTGCGAGCACCTTCCAGAGATGTCCAGCCAAAGCGCGGTTTTCCCTCGCTCTCTCCGGAAGGCGCTCTCGCCGCGGCCGGGCCAGCCTGCTTTGCTTGTCAGCTCCAGCGAGAGCTGCAGGCGGCCAAGGGCGGCTCCCCCGGCCTTTCCTTCCACGAAGCCGGGACTTGGACTTGGCGGCTCGGGGCGGCTCTGCCTCCCCGGCCCCGGCTCCCCCGCCTCCCTCCGTCAGCTCCGCAACCAAGGGGCAGGCGCTCCCCGGGTCGAGCAGGGCCTCGGAAGGCGCTTCGCTGCTGCTCGCGCCGCGGCTCCGCTGCAGCAAGCGCTCCGGGGCACCGGCTGCGAACCAGAGCAGCTCAGCCTTCAAAGGAGCGGCTGCTTTAAAGCTCAACACCTGGACCTAAACCTGGCCCGGCCTGGGCAATGGTTTGCATCTGCGCGGAGTTAGAAGAGTTTGTCAAGTGCGCCGCCGCACCTGCCAATACAAGCCTTGTTGCCCCTCTGGCATGTAGTGGTCTTGCATGCGCGGCAGTGAAAAACCCGAAAACTACCGTCGGGCTCCAGCGAGCTGCTGCAGGGCGACCAGCGCGAGAGACGAATTTTCCCCGTCATTCTCTCCCAGTTGACAAAAGAACCCACGCTAAGGTGTGCACACCGGCTTGGAAAGGAGCCATGGAATGTCGGGTGTCTCGCTAGCGGCCAGGCGAAATGCAACCGCAGTCTTAAATGACTCACTTGCTGGGATTCCTGGCTGATTAGACTTCAACGTTGAATCGAGCGCATAAAAGATCGACAGTCTGGCCCCTGTGGGAAAATGAATGGGACCCACGGATATCGGATCGGCACCAACAGATGAACAAATGACACTGGCCGAAGTTGCAAAAGCGTTGGTTGGGGGGAGTCCCTGCCTTTTCGCGGCCCTTTGATCAGCAGCTTCACGTGCAACCTGCGGCAAGGAAGCGCGCCGACATGCCTCTGGTGACTGACTCGAATCTTGAGCTTCCCACGGAAGGCTGGCCAATGTTCGAAACTCGGCCAACCTGGTTGCCAAGACTGGCAGATTTGAGTCTGAGCTGCGAGCCGCGCGCGAGAACTCTGGGTCGCCGACGCTTCCTTGCTGTGAAAGGATGTGTGCTGAATGGCAAGGAGCCGGCTATCTGCACAGCCATTTTGAAGCTGCACTCGGCTGCACCGGGAAAACTCATGTCTCAAGACTCGAGGCCTGCAGCGCTCGGGCAGGCGACCAAGATGTCCTCCTGACCGCTGCCTCGCTGCAGTGAGCGGAGTCTGTCGCTGCCACCCGCAGGCCATGGGGCCGGGGTCCAGGCCCAGGTCAAGGGCACATTGGAGCCAGATGGACTCTGCACCCCTGCATCAAGAGCACTGCATCCGCACTTGCATCCGCCATGCCTGCAAGCCCTGTCCCGCCTGATCTTGCGCGCCGTGCTTGGGGTGAGCTCCAGCGTTTGCAGCTTCAAGCAAAGGCCGTCGAAGTCTGGAAGAATGCATATACATGGCATGCGTAAACGCGGAAGAGAGGTCAAAAATCCCGCAAGGCCGGCCGAGGCGGCCAAGTCCCAGCGTCCCCGGGGCCTTCGAGCCGTGGGGCCACCAGGGATGCCGCTCGAACCTCTTCTGGAGCCTCAGCCTGCACAGAGCCGAGCAGCATGCACAGCGTACATGGGTTTTGCTGGCGTTCCGATGTGATGCGCGCTCGGAAATCCAGTTATGTGTATGTAACTGTATGTAATCAGCTATCTTGTTCTTTCAGTCGCGTCATTTAGGAATGTGTCTCGATGTGTGCCTCTAGCTATAGCCCTTGTCTTCAAGCCCAGGGCACACCTATAGCCCCAGCGACAGCACCTAAGCGACCCCTGCAAGATGAAAGCACTGCCATCCCGCCTTGAGTGGGATGGCCTCCGGCGTAGCCCAGGCCCGGGCTGTGCCGGTACCGGCCGTAGAGGCTTCGCCGTGCTTAGCGGATGCCGCTTCGCCCTGCGCCGTCCGCTGCCCGCCTCTGCACGCAGCACTCGGCTGCCCCCCCCCCCCCGTCCCCTCCTGCTGAAGGCCTGTGCTGAAAAGGAAGCCGAGAGCCCCGCCAGACAGAGGGTCCTCGGCCAGAATCAGCTCCAGCTCAGCGAAAGCTCGAGTGGAGAGCCTTGGCAGGCGACAGAGGCCGGAAAGTCGGGCAACCCAACGTTGCTCGTCTCTTCTTCTTTTCCTCAAACCGTGGGCAGCAGGGGCACCATGGGATGCTCCACTCGCGCACCTGGCCCGAGCTCTTTGGCCCAGGCCTCATAGGACACTGCGTCCTCGCCAAGCACCAGCTCACCGCGCCGGAGCCGAGCTCCATCGGCCACGAAGCCCAGGGTCCACGCCAGCCGCGGCGGAGCCGTCTTTGCGATGCCTGCGGCGCTGTGCAACGTCCAGCCGTGGTGCGCAGTGGCATCGCCAGGAAGAAGGCCACCAGTGCCTGGGCTGCAGGTGTGGACAATGAGTCTTCATCAAGCGCCTGCAGCCAAGCGGCGCTGGAGCTTGTACCTGCCACTCAAATCTTCGTCAACATCTCCAAGAAAGGGAAGTGCCTCAGCTGCCATCCCGGGATGCAGCGTCATGCAGCGGGCGCTCTGCCCCGGCTCTCATGCCTCTTCTGCCTTGAACCTGAAGCCTAGGGCTGGCACGAAATCCTTGTGGCTGCTGATGGCATATACCAGGGACGAGCCCTTCATCGAAATGGATGTTAAAGGCAACCATAGGGTCACAAAGCCTCGGCTGGCGCTTGCTGGCGCTGCAGCCGACGAGCAGTCTATGAGAGAGGCAAGGGGCTGTTGGTATCGAAAGGGGCCAAGCCCAAATCTGAATGCCAGTCGGTCGCCCCATCACCTCGGCCACCGCCACGACCCCGATCAGAGCTGAACGCCTCAGCTGGCGCCTGGGCGCTTCTCGAAGAGCGCGTCCTGATAGAGACCTCGGAGTCTCTCAGAGAGCTCCTTAAAGCGGAATCGAAGAAGCGCGCTGCGCCGCCCCCGCCGCCCACGGTCTCGGCCCCGGTCTCGGCCCCCCGGCGCACCCTCGGCACTCCCAGGAGCCGTGAAGCCCAGAAGGCGAAGCGGGGAGACAAAGCCAGCTCCCGCAAGGCCCCGCTGTGGCGATGCAGGTTGAAGTACTGAAGGAAGCTGATCTCTCCGCCTAGGCGGACAGACAATACGGACCACCGGACCAATCCAAGTCATGACACCTGGTCACCTGCGTAAGCGCGTGGGCGGCTGGGGTGCTGGCGTCCCTCAAGGTCCCTCAGCTTTGCCCTGCAAGAATCAATATCCGAACACGCTGTGGCGCTCGCCGCGCCATACTGCACCTGAATCTCTATAATCTCTCCTGAAGGTGCACAAGAGAAAGTTTCACTCGCCATGACCTGCAGACGGGTTGCCCTGATCTGATGCCGGAGTGCCTCGAGCATACACTCTTCAGAGCCTCAGATTCATACACAAGTGTACCAACCTAGAAGCCGATTGTGCCATGAGAAGTTTTCTTGCAAGGCTTGATCTCAGACACTGCAGGTGGCGCTCACCAGCTCGCTCAGCAAGTCGACCTCCTCCTCAGCCAATGCGAGATGCCGCAAAGCGGCAAAGCGAAGAGACGAAGCCCAAGCCGCCGAGGCCAAGATCTGCGGCATCTTCAGGAAGCCTTTGCGCTCGAAGTCCAGCCTCGCCGGCGCGCTCGCGTCGCAGCTCGCATCGGCCACCGACCGCACTCCGGCACTCCGCATCGCATAAGAGCCAGCAGCCCCAACTTCTCGGAGGCCGGGGGGCATCACTTCTGCAGAGCAGCGACTCCGATCCTGCGCGGCCACAGCCACTCGGCCACGCGTGCAGAGACACCGGGACAGAGTCCAAAGCCTCGTCTCGCACTGGAAGCTGACGCAAGCGCTGTGACCGCTGCGCCGTGCGAGCCATTCTGAAGGCCTGAAAGCTCTGAAGGAAGCTCGCAGCTCGCTTTGCTTTGACACTAAAAACCTTCCAACACCTCTCTGAGCGAGTGTCCAGCAGGCAGCTCGTGCACCAGGAACGTCTTGTCGGTCGGGGTGGGAGCCAGTGCAAGTGGCTCCCGAAGACCAGCTGTTCACTCGGTGGTGCACCTCTGAGACCAGCCCGAGATTTGGCAAGGTAGAAGCATTCCACGACAGCGCAAAAGCCTGCGAAGCGAAGGGGCTGGCCCGTCGCCGGAGTCACTAGCACCGACACCGCGGCCGCCATGGCCCGAGATTTTTGACTAAGGCCTCTATGAGGCTTCCTTCACTGCTCTCGAAGCAGATTTCGCAGGTTGGGCTACTTGTAGCAGCTTCTGACACTCGATCCGTCCACCATCTTTGTTGGCTTCTGAGACTGCGGCTCCTGTGAGGATGGCACCGTCCGATTGTTGGGCGCCGCTGTTGGCGCCTGTGGCGCCTGTGCTTGGAGCTCTTGCCGGAGCTGCTGGGCTCTTCGCAGCAGCTCAGTGGCCTCCCGGCGGAGAAAGCAAAGTCTTTGCCCGAGGATGACCCTGGTCCCCGAGGCCCCGAGGCTCCGGCTCTTCCTTCCTGGGACGCGTTCACGTTGTCGTCTCTCATCAGAGGTACAGAGAAACTCTAGGCCGCTCAGTCTTGTCTGGACTTGTCGATTCGGATTCGGGCTTCCCTCCCTTCAACGATTCTAGACTACAAGTATTACGCCTGGACTTCTGAGGTCCCATCTGAGCACTGATGCAGCTGATGCAATCATGTAAAACATGTGCAAAACGAACGAGGCAAGAGCCAAGCACGCCAAGAGGGCCCTTTTCTAAGGACGAGCGGTGCTGGAGGCTCTCAGCTGGTGCGACCGGGCGACCTGCCAAAGCCGAAACAAACATCCCCGCAACGCCACTCGGTGACACATAACACCTGAAGAAGGCCTCGAGAAACCAGAAGGGCTCGGCCAGCGAATCGCCTCTTTGCCCAGGGTTTTTTCAGCTCAGACTCAGATGCCACCGCCCTGAACGCGCCCGGCCTGGATCGTCCAAGGGACACACGCTTTCCACGTGCAGGTCCAGAATTCCCTCCTGGCTTGCGGCAAGCACGGCTTCACGGGCAGCTCATTCGGAGAGCCGTCGGGGTCCTGGGCATGGAACTCCACCGCACACACCTGCAACTCTCTAACGCTCCAACGGCCCCCTGTTCCATCCTTCTGTCTTGCGGCCGAGTGCTGGACACACGAGACGTACCGCCCCGCCTTCACAAACATCCCCGCAACGCCGGATATCAGAAAACTCTGAGTGGCGAGTGAGAGTTCGAGCGGCTTCGGCTTCATCGACGAGGAGGCCTGGAGCGCTGCGCTGGTCGCAGGGCTCGAAGAGATCAGCCCTCCCACGTCTAAGCCTCACTTCTACGCCGCAGCTGTAATGATGCCAAGAACCACCAAGCATTAGGCGTCAGCTTCAGTTTGAGTCACACGCTCATCACTGCTGAGCCATCGTCCAGGTCCACGATGTCGTCACCGTCCCTGCCTCATGCAGGTTCCACTGAGCTTTGCAGCAGTACTTTCTTGGCAAAACTCGGGGATCGGCATAGTACGTATCCTTGTACCCACACACGTTTCAGCTTTTGGTGCAACTTTGTGCATGCGACATGACCTCATTCGTCTTGGACCCATGATCTGTAAAAAAATCTGGCGAAATCTGCGAAGGATGAGACGAGGACCTTGGGCATCGACCTTGGTGCAGTGGAGCTCTGCGAGCAGGATCTTCATCGCCACCTCGCCCTCGCCGAAGCCGCCATGGCCTTGCTTGGGTGCAACTCTCTCACAGGACGAAGCCGAGGCCGAGATCTTGCCGCTTTGGCCTTCCAATGGAGCCGACCTTGCAGCGCAGAAGATCGTTTCCGTCGCTTCCCCCTCCCTACTCTTTCGGCCTCTGTGACGGCCAATTTGCAGCCATGGCGGCAGCGCGAGTCAAAACACCACGCCCGAAGTCCAACTATACGAATGTCGACTGGCTCTAGTTCAAGGGTTACGGGGGTTACGGGTGCCCTGTTCATCAGTATCTCTGGCAAAGCTGCTCAGCCCGAGCCTCGCTTCGGACAGGAACTCGAGCTCAAGGCAAGCTCACGGAGCTTCAGGAAAGGCAACCGTCCTTTTAAAGCACCTCCCATCTCTCTTGGGGTGAGACCACGATTGCACAAGGCAACACTATGCCACAAATGCGCACAGAGCACGGTGGACAAGGGAAGTAACCCTGGAAACCGTAGAAACCAAGAGTGCCAACGTCATCTCGATGGACCCGTCCCTGTGACCTGAGGTCTGAATGTGATCACGGAGTCAGGTGAATGCAAGCTGGCAAGAAAGTCTCTGATCTCCTTTCCCGAGGCCGGTTCGATACCCCGCTTCCTGGTCTGCACTTGCATGTAGCGCCCGCGGTACTTCCGGGGATTCCACCTTTGCCACCACACGAGCCAAGCAGCCAAGCCCCTGCCTGCATGTGAGTTCTTCCGAGTGCGAGGCCACTTATGCGCGTCGACCCTGCGCATGCTGACAGCTGGTCGTGTTCGCACATAGACGCTCTTGGGCAACTTCGTGCTTGCACATCAAACGATCATCAGACCGACTGCGCCTGTAGTTGTATTCCCGCTTCATGAGCCAACTTTTCTTTCTGTGGTGGTCCTGCGCATCCCCGAAGAGCGTTGTAGTTTACCGCATAGGTATAGTGTGGGCAGGCGCCGTGTCCTTCTTGGTTGAGTACAGATCCTTGATGTTCTGGTGCATGTGCCGCCAGTGTCGGGGCTTGTTAGCCCCAAGGAAGCCGCTTCTCAGCAGCATTTCCTGTGGGTGGTTCACTAGGCCGAACCGCAAAATGGTACCCCAACCAGCAACCTGCCTTGAGCTCTTGCGGCTCCAGACCCAGATCCGGAGGCCCATCGTCAACCACCACCTCAGAGCTAAGAACCTGCTGGAAGCTGAGAGGCAAAGCAGATGCATCGAATGAGTGCCGCCCAAGCCACTATCTGCCCTTCGGTGTCCGTGTAGCCGAACTGCACCTGATTGAAATTCATCTCAAAGAGCTTCTCCGACTTCACTTGGCCCGACCGGGTTCGACTTCGGGTACCAGTAGCGGAACTTCCGATAGAGGTAGTAGGCACCTGGGTCGAGGCTATGACTCCTCCCTGGATGCCTCCCCCCTCCCCCTCCTCCAAGAGCCGGGCGTCGGATCAAATACTTGTACTGGCACTGAATCGCTTCTCTGAAGTCGCCCTCTTTGTGAACGACCTCGGAAAGATGCTTCCGCTTCTGCTTCTGCTGCACCCGCGTCAATCACACGGGCCTCGCCCACGCGCTTCCAGGGCGTCAGCCCCTCGTACCGCACGAAGACCTCTCGAGTTGAGGGGAGGGGGAGGAAGCAGAGAAAGAAGAGCTGGCACAGCACGGAGACCGAGCAAATGCCAGCAATGGCGCCTCGCTGACGTTGTAGCCGGCCCTGGAGAACTCCTCGGTGGCTGTCGGTGGCTTTCAGCGCATCGTGTCGAACATGTCTCGAGGTCGAGGCCCAGAAATTTGTCCTCTGGTGCCGCGTGTTGCGCTCCACCGGCTGCACGAACTGCTCCTGCGGAAGCCAAGGATGATTGATCCCGCCCGCCCTGCCCGCCCTGCCCGCCCTGCCCGCGCTGCCCTGCCAGAAACACACGGCCTTGGGGATGTCGGCCATCGTCTGGAAGCCTTGGGCCTGAAAGGCAGGAAAGCTGCTGTCGCTCTTGATTCAGCTCACGAGGGTACAGGGATTCCTCGGGCCTTGGGCAACTTGATGATGAGCTTCTTTCCGCTGTGTGATGTCGGAGCTGCCTCATGAAGCACATGTTGCACCGGAAACTGCTCGCCGCGCTACAGCCGTCGCAAGCTTCGCAAAGTGCTTCACCCGCCGAGCGATCGCGGCAAGCTGGGCATTCCTGTCCGCCTGCGAGACGGCGGGTGGCAAGCGGGACACAGCGGCATCGCACCACACTTTTCTCCAATTATCCGAACATGGCACCGGCAAGCGCACCACTGGTTATCCCAGGAATGCCCATAGTTGACGGTCATGCGAGATTAGCTTCATGGGCCCTCCAACGATGATACCAGTCAGCGGGAGGGCAGCACGGCCATCAGGCATCGCCAGGCGCCGTCTAACCGTCTAACCGCTTGCTCTTCTTCGCAGGCAGCGCCATCAAAACTCTCGGCAGCGTCACCGCGAATCCCGTTTGACGCAGCGTTCCCGGACATAGCCCTCTATTCTGATCTGACAAGGCTGTTGGAGACAGGGACGCAAGGGCCAAGGGCATCCAAAAGCAAACGATGCGTGAACCCTCGCCGCCTCGCCTGGAAGAGGCCTGAGAAGCCCTCGGACGTCGGGCCCTGAAACCACGCAGCAAAGACCTGGGCTTCGAAGGTCACGAGCTGATCGCGCACGCGCACACTCCGAGGTTCTTCGAGGGCAGGGCAAGGAGACTCAGAAGCCAGCGCCTAGGCGAGCACCAGAACAGAGATTTCAGGACTGCGATGTGGCTTCTGTCGGAGGCCTCCCCGGGCTCGCAGCCGCAGGCGGATCCATTCTTCTTTGCTTTATGATAAAGAGGTGCTGGGAGGTGTTCAGTCAGAAGGGACGATGGGTCTCCCTGGCTTGCCGCACACTGTCGCGGACGCAAGGACTCAGAATGAATGACAGCCCCATGTTGAGGACCAAGTGCATGTAGATTCTGCTGCAGGTTGCTGGCGGTGCACCGTAGCCTCGGGCCAAGCTGGCCTCAAAGCAGGCGATGTTGAAGCTGGGGACAACAAGCAGGCACGGTCGCGGCTTCTGCGGTGTCTCCAAGCCGCATCTTTTACACAACAGTCGAATTCGCCTCACTCTACTCTGAAGCGAGTGGAGGTGTTATCAACGCTTGTAGTGGTGAGACGGACAAACTCGATCTGCGAGGTGAAACGGCCGACGATTCTTGCATCCCTCTTCAGCTACAAGCATAAGATACATACTAGATAGTTGAGAAGGCGAAAAATTCTCGTCCCTCGGAGTACAAGCTCGGAAGCTGCACTTCAGCTTTTCTTACGCGTCATATGATCAAAGATCACCACCTTAGCTGCAACTTTGCCGGACTTGACCTGGTCCTCAGGGCTACAAAGGCTACAATCCTCCAAGCCGCTTGGATGTACTCGGTGGTCGGCACCTGCTCGCAGGCTTGGCTTGGGCTATGCTCTCCGGCAAGGCTCCCGCCGGATATCTCTGAGTCTGGGGTTCGCCTCCAGGCGTTTGGAGTTGTCACCAGGCTCGGACCTGGGGTCGACGCTGAGCACCTGCAAGGCGGGCACCTCGGCCTTGGTGAAAGCTGGAGAAGGGGTGGAGCGGGCCTTCCGGTCACGCTTGTTCTTGAAGAGCAGGCCCTGCTCGTGGTCCGGCAGGATCTGGAAGTTGGGACTCTCGTTCGAGGTCGAGTGCTGCGTGTCCCAGTTGTAGAAGGACAAGTCAGACCTTGGACTCGCGAGAAGAGTCCAACCACGCATGTCGGAGTGAGCCAACCGTCCTGCATCAGTCTCTGAGGGTCCGTCGACTTCGGCAGGAGGCGCTTCTTCCGCTCGAAGTACCTGGAGAGATCAGCCACACATGTGTAGAAAAGCAGGATCAGGACATCAGGACTCGGGGAAGGACGGCTCGAAGTTCTCAGTCTTGAGACGGTGGCCGTAGTCTATGTATCCAGAGATCTCCTGACGACTCCACTGACACCGTTCGTCCATCCATTCCATTCCTGCCACGCGGGCTGTCTTCGCGTCCTGTCCACGATGATTTTTATCGCGGATGAAGATGATGGTGCTGAGCTTACCACTGCGCACCAACTCCTCGCAGGGGGGACAAGCATAACCTTGAGTACGTGCTCCGTGCTCCTGTTCCGACGGCCTCCCGACATGCAAGGTGTCGAAGAACTGGGAAGTCCGTCAGCTTTTTCTGCGCACTTGCCAGCACCTATCAGCGCAGTGCGCTCAGGCTCGCTGCGGCACATGTGGCGTTGCTCGGCCCTGGCCTTCGGCGCGCTCTGCAGACGCGCCTGTCGCAGGTAGTGCAGGCAGCGCATTGCCCTGTGTGCCGGGGGTGGGCGCCTCGCCTTCTTGGCGTTCTCAGCCGCCTCCCGCCTTGCAGCGAAATCCTCCCTGGTCAACACCTTCCGCGGTTCACCGCAACGGCGTTTGACCGACGCTCGACAGAACAATCTTGCATCTTGGCCTCCCCTTTCCTGCATCCTATCTCAACGAGCTGTCGAGCGAGCTCGTCTTCCTCAAGGTAGAAACGGTCCTCGAGAGCTCAGAGTGGAACGGAACGCCTTTCTGAGATTGAACGGCATCCTGCAGTCCTGAGGTGTGATTTGGCTGTCGAGGTAGTCTTCGTAGGTCGTAAACTTCTCGATGGAGTCCTGACACCACGTTTACACTTCTCTCAGCTCTCCGAACAGCCGCATAAGGCTTCAGCATGCTTCAGCCTCATAGGGATGCGCGTAATCATCCTCCATGGCTTCGAGGGGATTCTGTTCACTCGAGCAGGTAGCAGGTTGGGGACAAAAGCATGGCGCAGGTCTCAGCGGTTCGCCACTACAAGTACGACAAGAAAGACGGCTCGAGTGTGGAATTTTCGCCTTCGCCTTGCCTCCCGGCCCCCCAGGAGGTTTGAGCAGCCCCTGCTCGCAAGGCTACCAGAGACCAAGGGCCGCAGGGCTGCAGCCCGCCGGGTCTCTGAGACCTAACCGACCTAACCTCCAGTGCTTCACAGCACTGCCATCATCGAGCTGCTCACAGAGCTTGGAGCACAGCACAGCCCGGTAAACACCCAAGAGGTCGCACGATCGGCGTGCGAGAACATTAGCCAAACCGCAGCTATTCGCATCTTTCCGCGAAAGCACGGTTCTTTGAAGTCTACACAACCACTGGCATGGACTGCCACTCGGTGCCCAGGTAGCGGTGCCTCAGGCGCAGGACACTGGCGAGGAGAGGCGGCGGCGTGCGGCGGCGTCAGGGCCCGGACTCCAGCTGCCCGGCCAAGCGGAGTAAGTCGGCATGTGGCAACCCTTGCAGCATGCGGCCTGGGCCCCGCAATCACAAGACCATTAAGGCCATAGCGGCTGCTCAAATGGAGGCCTGTATTTTCTGGAGTCCTGTCGTCCACAGCATCAGCCTTCCCGTGAGGATACAGAGAGCCACTCAGGCCAGATCACGACGATTCCATGCCTCGGGTCTCTCTGCACCGGCACCTCGGGTGACAGGATTGGCATCTAAGCTTCTCAGCCCTTCCATCTGCGGCTTTTCCACTCTCCGCCTCGTCTGCGTCGCTTCAGCAGTGCGCCCGGAGGCGCGTCCTCCGCACCTGTGCCAGTACCCAAAGGGTCCCCTGGTTAATGCGGAGGTCGGCTGTGTAACAGCTGGGGACGAGGCTACTTGGATCGGAAGGGAAAGCAGCCAGCTCGCGCTTCACAGCCTGCACACGCCAACGCTGGTCGGTCAGCGCAAGCGGCAAGCGGCTGCGGGTGGCCCTGCGGCCTCCCTCTTGATCGGAACCTCCTGCTTCAGTCCCTGGAGCTCGACCTCGAAACGGGAGACCCGGAGACGGGAAACCGGACTCTGAGGGGCTCAGTCTACCAGGCCTTGGCATTCACGGCCGTGGCAATCTGGGACTGGGAGTCCTTGGGCCAGGACTCCGCCAGCATCCTGCGGACGAGCATCGCAGGGCCAAGCCGGGAAGCCGAGCCAGACCTCCGTCTGCGACCGGGCACGGCAAAGAGTTGCGTTGCGAGGCGCTTTCGCCGCCTCACAGCCGCTGAGACAGGACCAAAGGCTTCGGAGGTCAAAGGCCGGGGCCGAGGCTTTGCCAAGTGCGCCTTCACATTCTCCGGATCTACCCCGTCCCCATCGCCATCGGCCTCAACTGAGTCCTCGCTCAAACCGAGCACGCTTGAGGGAAAGGAAAACGAAGCTCACACCTCCTCGTCCAGGCGCTCGGGATCGGCCAACGCCGGTCCAAGGACTTCGATCTCGGATTCCTTTGGCCGACGCAGAGGCTTGGAGAGTCGATCTACGGGTGTGATCGGCTATGTCCGATCTCAGCTCCATTGCATGCTGCACTTGCATCTCAAGAGACGCTGCCGTGTTACAGGGTGTCGCATGGACTTGGCAAGAGATGGAACTTCGGCACCCACGAGCTGGCCTGCAGCTTCTCCGGCAGATCTGCCGCCGTTGCACTAGCGCTGTCCTGCGCGAGCAGCCGTGCACACAGAAGTTGTCATGCAAAGCAGCAACGGCACAGCTGTGCCTCCACCTCCTGGGCCGATGGCTCTGCAGGCAGTCGAAGCTCTCCTTCGGCTTCGCAACCATCCTGGCAATCACAGGAAACCCGCCGGCTGTTGCAAGGTCTTCCCGGGTGCTTCTCTCGATCCGCTCCGCATAAGCAAACCTAGCATGAAGCGAGGGCAAAATGTACTTCGGTGAAAAAATCTACCAGTGTGCCACAAGGTTGGTGACACTAGGAGCCTTTGGGATTTCTCTGTTTACTCAGTAAAGGGAATGAGGTGACAATAGGGATTACCTTACTTACTGCCATCGCCGAACGAAAGCCGGCAGAATCTCGACCTTCCTGGGTCGCCCTCTCGCGTGTGTTGCCGCTCAGACTCCTGGACTACCATGCTAGGGTAGTCTCGGAATGCGGCCCTGGTGTAGGCATACTACGTGGTCTTTCACTGTTCGGGGCCTGCGAAGGCATAATTTTCCCAGCAAGACTTGGACTTGGCAAGAGATGGAACTTCGGCACCCACGAGCTGGCCTGCAGCTTCTCCGGCAGATCTGCCGCCGTTGCACTAGCGCTGTCCTGCGCGAGCAGCCGTGCACACAGAAGTTGTCATGCAAAGCAGCAACGGCACAGCTGTGCCTCCACCTCCTGGGCCGATGGCTCTGCAGGCAGTCGAAGCTCTCCTTCGGCTTCGCAACCATCCTGGCAATCACAGGAAACCCGCCGGCTGTTGCAAGGTCTTCCCGGGTGCTTCTCTCGATCCGCTCCGCATAAACAAACGTAGTGTGGTGCCCAAGGAGTCTTCTTCGACCGACTGAGGCAAACGACAGTTCGACGACAAGACGAATCCCAACATGACGTGACATCATGTTTCTAAGTGCTCGCGCTTCACAAGTTACCTGCTTATGTCGATCATGAGCGAAATCGCTTCTCTTGAAGTTGTGTCTCTGTATGTCTCTGTGTCACGGCTGAAACTACGACGGCTAGGTCCTCCACATGCCGCACTGACCCGCGCTCGCCCGTCTGGGAAATCCTGCTTGGCCGTCCGGGTAACATGCACCGGAAACCCGCTGGGCCAGCGAGACCTGATCGTTCTTCAGCCTTCTTTGCGACTGCGGAAGAGAGATGCCCGAAGCCACCAGCATCGTTCCGAGTGGATCGATGTCAAAGCTCATGAACCCCAGCATCGTCCATGCCGTTGCTTCAACACCGTTTCGACGATCACAAGCATCGCTGCTTGGAAAGCATCATTCATTGAGTGTCAAGACCCCATGCCCCACCGAACACGACATCCAGCGCATCGTATGGATTAGAGGGTCTTCGTGTATCCATCTCGGTGCCTGTGTGAATGTTCTGCTTCATGCCGCTCTTCTGAGCCGTGGACCTGGCCCTCTTCATGGTATCGTAAACGACCGGATAGACATGAGCTGCTAAACCCTTAACCCTCATGTCATGTTTCAATTGACTCAGCAGCACGAGATTGGTGCACACCTGGTTCGACGCCTTCTAGGTTGGGTGGTACAGTGTTTGGTCTGCGGCATGTAGTTTGCGGCGCATTGTCTTGTATGTTTTTTTGTGCCAAGACTCGAGTCCGGAAACTTGTTTTTGTTGAGCTCCTTGTTCCGTTGCCCCACTCCTAGTAGAACCACATAAAACTAGTTCTTATAGTAGACATGATCTGGAGGCTTTCCAAGGATTCCGTTTTGTGAAGTAGGGGGGATACTAAATCCTGTAAACCCTGAACCCTCAAGCCTAAGCCACCCCCGAACAGCAATGTAAGCCGAAAACCTGAAGCCCGAAGCCAACTCCCATAACAACTCCCATAACCGTAAACCCTATGGCCTTTAGTAGTGAAAGCCCAAACCCCAAGCCCTAAAAGCCTAAACCCTGTAAACAGCAAGCTCAAGCTGTGACTGTCCCAAAGCAGCAGCCCGGGAACAAGGAAACCATTGACAAACCGAAGCGAAGAAGCACAGACGCAGACGAACCTGTGAAACACCGGAGAAATGCCAGAGAACGGGCGGCAGACTACACGCCACATTCCCACTATTTAAATAGGTGCCCTCAAAAGTAAGAGGTTGTGAGCACCGAAGCCCCATGTCGTCTCCGAAGCTTGCCAGAAACCCAAATGGATTCCACCCATCCGTGCACACCTCCGCCAGGTCCTGCACAGCTTCTGCCACCTCGCTCCTGCAGGATACCAGCAACCAAACAGAGGCTGACATCGCACTTCGAAGGCTTCAGGCGGATGCAACAAGCCTGTCGGAGGCTTCTTCGGTGCTGTCCTGGGTGCCAGCGAGGTCTCAACTTATCCACGGAACGTCTTCAAGATAAATTGAGCATTCCTGATCTGAGCGTCCGTCAGGAAGGGGCAGCTCGGTTGGGGACGTCTCTTCGAGTGCCTGAACACCAGAACCCCATGCCGCGTAGGCATGCGATCAAGCGTCGCACATCTGGCACGGAGCATCCCGCAAACAACGAGCAAGCATGTTCCGATGATGCGCGACCATTAATTAATTCCTGAACGTCGAAGCAGAAGACTTCGTGCCCTGCTAAGGATGGAAGGTTTGGCCGGCGCATGTTGTCAGAAAATAACAGCCAGCAAAGCAAAGTCAGCGGCAACACCCACGCACCAAAAACCCTGCAGCTGTTTCGGGAAGACGTCTCAGTTCCAAGCTGACTCGGAGGGAGACGCGCAAGCCTGGCCAAGCAGATCCGGGCGTCACGTCACGGATTCAAGTGGACCATGTCATGTGTTGCTGCTTGTTTTGGTTAAAAGGTTGGTGAAGGAGAGGTTTCAGATTCTCGCGGATGACCATGTCTCCCAAGACACTGGGAAGTGAGTCTTAAAACGGTACGGATGACAACACCAAGCCGGCGGCACAAGTGGCATGATTGGCCATGAAGCAGAGGTCTCAGAAAAGAACAGAGCTTCGAACACAGACGATTAAGCAAGAGCGGATAAGCACATTCCCAGTGCATTTTGTCCAACTAGCAAGACTTGTCCTCAAAAGCACGGATGTGTTTCAAGATGCATCCTCCGTTGCTCCCTTCCTGGCACTGTTTCCTCTGTCATGAGACTGCAGCCGAAAACACAGAGAAAACAAAATAAATTGAATAAATAGAACCATGCCATCCCGGAACTAGTCCTCAACCTCCCGGAACTAATCCTGAACTAAAATAAGCCCACTGAAGCCCCAACAGCTGATGGCAAATGGATGTTATGATATCACCGTAACAAACCTTGTGCTAAGACTGCGTAAGGCGTAAGACATAAGACACACTGTATGCCATAGTCTTTGGTGACCATGCATCTTGCGAGGCTTGGCACGATGGTTTTCGTCTGAGCGAGTGGGAACCCGCTCCGGAAATGCGCCGGAAGCCGCTCCGGAAACCCGGTTTGGAACCCCTTCCGGAAACCCGCTCCAGATCCTGCTCCGGAGCCTGCCCGAGAACCCGCTCCGGAACCTGCTCCGGAACCTTTCCAGAACCTTTTCCGGAACCGCTCCAGAACCCACTCCTGAACCGCTCCGGAACCACACTGCAGAACAGAACCCCGCTCCGGAATGCAGAACCTGCTGCGGAAAAACTTCGAAGCTGACTTGAAGGTCCTTCGTACGTCGTCCGTGTCGGAGGAAACTTGACGTGTCTCCTCGGGGATCCTCCGCTTGAGCAATGCCAGATGCACACACTGCTCAATGACGACAAGGTTGCAGTCCACGAGGGCCGCAATCGCCTGAACATAAGCCACGAATGCAGCGTCCACATCCTGCGAGGAGCTGCTCTGCATAACATCATGATGCGGCACATTCACATGGGGAGCAAGCGCGATCCAGTGCCCAGGGGCTAAAACATTGCCCGGGCGGAGGGGGAGAGCGCCCGCAGCCATGGTCGAGCGGCGCACGGAGAGGCAGGCATCAGGACGGCCCTCGGGCCGAGGCCAGACTAGGGAGGCTAACAGCGTCAACGAGACACCATTTATATTTTATATGCCCAGACTGCAGATCGCACCCCCGTCATGGTGAGAACTGGCTGAGCAAGGCAATGCAAACTCTTTCGCTCTCTCTGCGTCACCAGACATTCTAAGAGATGCCTCCACAGTTGAGTGTTTGCAGGATTCGCGAGCAGCTATTTCTCTGTGCCCACCTGTCGACTTGCCGGAGACGAGCTTAGAGACTATGTTTCCCACAAGCCAAACGATCCAAGCGCAGCTTTTGATCTTTTGATATTTCAGCCGCAGTGCACAACGAGGTTCGCCTACATCCGCGAAGGCGTCTCGGACTCGGAGTTCTGTTCTCCTTGTCCTGCTCTGTCACCTGCCGCTTTCCTGAGCGAAGCCGTTGCGGACTTGGGGCTCGGCTTTCCTAGTCCTTCTGCTGCTCTGTCACCCGTCGCTTGCTCACCAAAGTCTGCAACTCCTTCTCTTCCTGCGTCTTCTGCATCTGCAACTCGTCGATCTTCTTGTTCAGTTCTGAGATTGTGCTCAGCTGTTGCTTGATCGTCTCGGAGTTTTGCTGGATCACCGTGTTTTGTTTGCTCTCAAATCGTGCTTTTGCATACGACTGCAAAGTATCGAGTAGACTTTGTGCTTTACTTGTATCGCATCCGCTCTTGGCCGCTGCTTGCACTGTCACCGCATGTCACCGCCATCAGCACGTTTCCCAACACTGGAAGTCAACACCAAAGACGAGGCTGTTCCTATTAAGTCTCGGAATGGTGTTTCGCCCGGGATTTGAAGCTGGTGTGGTGTTTTGTGGTTCACCACAGTGCTCCGTGTCTTTGCAATGACACCTTTGGTCATATTCGCAAAAGGATTGATTCCAACGTCGTCATCCCTCCACATCCGACAGCTGTCATCCCAAGACCAAAGTCCTAAAACCCGAACTCTTCAAAACACGACAGAAGGGCAGAAGGCAAACACCGGCACACGAACGAGCGAAAAAATGCTCATGCCTCCATCACCCGTTTTTGCAAAACTACCAGTACCAACCGAAATCCAAACAACTGTCCTCCCTCTTCCATCGAAGATTTAGCCCTCAAGAAATCCTACAGCAATAACACCCTCCAATGCCATGCAGCTCTCTTCCCAGCATTGGCTTTTCTCAGCCCCCTTCCCAACAAGCGGGTGTTCACGAGTTTTCGTCCGGCGTTAAACAACAAAACTCAAAGACCTCAAAGACATGCGAACAATCTTCCACATCTCCCTTCCCAGCACTTTACTCAGAAAACCAACAAGAAAGCCAACAGTTTACCATAGTTTATTGCTCAGGAACCAAAGTACCAAAAGGGAAGGTCAAAATCAGCGCCACTCCCCGAAATTCGAGAAGGAACAACAAATACAAGTTCTCAAATCACACCCTGCCGGGACTTCTGAAAATCTCAATCAATGAAATAACCGCCTTGTCAGCACATAAGGGGGGAGCGTTCATTTCCCAGTGTACCAGTCCGGCTTCACGATACGAGTACCCTGACCCTACATTGCACCAGCGCGCCTATACCAGCTGTGGTTTTTGTTACCACTTCGCCCTACGACCAAAAGGGGCTGATGGCTTCTGCCGCCTCGGAAGAGCAACCAAAGCGAGTTTCAAGTTTTGTGTTACTCTGAAAGCGCTCCCTCGCCCGCTCGATGTCGTCGCGAACCGCCTCAGAAGCCGCAGAGATCCCACAAAGCCGGAGCCAGTCGGAGTTTTTCGCACATGACAGCAGCACGGCAATGCGTCGACGCCTGTTTGGATCCGTTCTGACCCCTGGCATTTCGAATAGCACATGAAGGGCAACGGTTTGTGGTAGTTTATGGATGTGTGAGCAGTGGCCCATGTGAATTTCTCGGAGGACCGACAAACCAAAGACGCAAGGCCCGCGCCTTCCCCACACAGTCCCCTCCCCAGCAAGGGCCTTTCCTCCACCGGCTGGGTACACCAGAAAAGCGATGGCAAATCCGCTGCAAACGCAAGGCCGAGCGGAAAAACAATGAAACCCGCATAGGGCGTCTCATCGGCCCTTTCAATGAACATCCCAGTGCCAATGCATGCCAATGCCTCCACCTTCTCGGCTTCGGCCTCTCGCAAAGCCTCCCAGCAGAAGGAGGGACTCAGTGCAGCGGCGAAAGGCGGAAGACGTGTTTGGATTCGCCTCCTCGTACCTTTGCCGTGAGCGATTCAGGAACGCGAGGAATCCTGGCATGCGAGAAGGTCATGACGCACTTCTGCTACGCACTCCTCTTTCCTCATCGTCTGCCTGCCTCCGCCACGGCAGGCCATCATTGTCCCCTTACGCTGCAAGCAAGCTTTCGCACTTCTGTCTGGTTTCCAGATGTGAGTGCCCGACGATCTCGCGCTGAAGCTCGCAGGGCACCAATTGCAGCTGCAGCAGTGTACAGTAGGCAACAATCAGGTCTGTCTGAAGAGTCATGTCCAGCTGCTAGACCCATCTGCATCATGAGAGACTTTGGATGCTGTCTACAGTGTACATGACCATGCGACATAACCCACACAGATCAGCTGATGAGCATCGGGGAAGATGTAAAAGCTGCTTGCTTAGCAGCGCTTCCTGCAAACCACGGGGCCACCACTCTCTGAAGAAAGGCCACCCTTCTTTTCGGAAGCACAGCCGTGTTCTCTTCCGGTCTCTCATCTTGTGTCCATGTCCTCTCCAAGTATGAAGGAAAGAACACAAAGTTTGCTCGAGACGGCTAGAAACCAAAAGCCTGAACCAATGATGCACCGCCAGCGAGGATGGCATCCTGGCGTAAACGTTAGCTGTAGCCGACCCATGCCGCCTAACACTGACAGGCACCTGCCTAAACTCCGCATCAGGCACTCCCCGCTCCGTGTTGGGCAAGGGATAGAAAACCTGGAACCGAAAGACACGGAGACGGGATGCGATCATGATGCAACATGGTGCCTCCGATGGGCAGACCAACATGGGCCACAGGTTTTTCTGACCTTCAGAACTGCAGGACACTCAGCTTGCCATCTCTCAAAGTCGGGGCTGCCTCTGAGCAAGCGCAAGCCTTTGACAAGGCCACGGGTAAAGAATCCCGGCCCGGTGGTGGCAAGAAAGGCGGCCTCAGGCGTGGACACCAGGAGAAGGAACACACAGCCACCGTTGCTGTGTCCTGCCTGGCCACCAGACTGCAAAGATGGCATCTCTAGCATTCCAGACCTGGCATGCGTCCATCAAATCCGAGAAGTCTCACGCGAAGCTTACATCATGCACACCTCTGGATTTGATAAGCGACAGCTTCTTTGGGGTCAACATCGTCCTGGGAGCTTTAGCGTCAGCGTGAATGGTCCGACGGGTGATTGATTGTGTATTTCCGATTGTTCCTGTCCCCACTCAGGCCACGGTTTTCCCAGATGATCGCAGAGGTAGGACACCAACGGATGCCTGCCAGACACATGCCATCGGCTTCGCTGATAGGAGGCACCTTGAGTGAGTCCCACCCTGCGGTCGCAGCGAAGAGGCCGTTGTTCACCTCGACTGCCCCCACCTCGAGCAGTTGATAGACTCAAGTGGTTCGAAGATCACATTCTCTACATCCTGGTTGTACCTACAGTAACAATGGGGCGACCGCGTTCGAGAGACCACAATAGAAAGAGGCTCGGGTGTGCAGCACATCCAAAGGCTTCAAGCACTCGAAGTCCTGTCGGGAAATAGCTTTGCAAATCTTGTACCAGGACCAACTTACGGATCACAGAACAGAGAGCTTCAGTCCACGTCGACGTACAAACCACCATGACGAAGAATGATGGCCAAACCTCTCTCTGCATGTGCATGTACATCGTGCATAATTAAGCCGGAAAAGTGTCAGCAGCTTTCGGGGCTTGGGCGAAGAATGTCGCTCTTCTCTGCGGGATTGTCAGCTGCCTCGTAGGCCTCTCATATTTGGGACGACTTGGGGTTCTTTGTTCTTTCATCTTTGTTAGGACGGAGGGAGCACAGGACTGCGCCTTGGCGAGGCCCGGGTGACCTCTCAGCTCCTCGCCAGCATCTTCGTCCGTCCAGAGCCGGTACTCCCAGGTCGGGTGTCCTTAAGCTCGGACCGAGGGAACGGGCCGAGGCACCCCGAAGGATGTCTTGAGGCATGGGCGTGCCTTCCATTCCCCTGCAAAGCGCTCGCAGGGCTCTGGCCAGCGGCGAGGGCCCAACCAGATCCTGAAGAGCAGTCGCATGTGACATGATTCGTGGCTCCGAAACGGACCGAGGCGCTGATGTATGCGACGCGGAATCACATTCTGTGGCGGCGTGCTCTCAAGACGAGAAGCGGCATCCTGGCAGCGTGCGGTTGGCAAAGCAAGAAACGAACGTTGCAGCTGCTGCCCAAACCAGGCGCCTGCCAGAGATCCTGGAGCTCCTCCAGCCATTGCCGGTCCTTCGGACTCCACAAGTTCCACCTCTCAGGACTTCTTCGCAAACGAAAGGAGCTGTTTGAACCGGGTGCCCGCCCGGCGCCTGGTTTCGTCAGTTCTTCCTTCGGGCAGCTCCAAGCGTGTCCGGCAAATGGCTAGTAAAGGGTCCTGGAGGCCAGGGAATGTGTTCGTGCCCCCCAAGCCACACACTCACACTGCTTCCTCCATCACCGGGAGGCTTCATGGAGCAAGGGCTACTCATTCTCCAGCTCAGCTTCGATCTGCCAAGGATAACACGGCACATACCGACATCTGCCAGCCTTCAGCAGGACCAAAGCACAGTGTTGGCTATACCCGGTCTCTCGAAGCCAAGTACAGTTTCGGTTTTTTTCCAGCACCCACTCTGTCGCCTCGCTCTCAGCTGTCCCAGCTTTCTCTGTTGCATTGGTTGCATTTTTTCTCATTGTCCCTGGACCAAGGGCCGATAAAACGTCCCACCGCTCGCGCACCTGAGCTGCAAAGCTGCAAGGAAAGCCTGTCACCTCTGTTTCCAAACGGGTCCCAACACGCAAAAAGCCTTCAAACTTGCTTGCTGCGGCACCGTCTCAGTACGAACAGCCACGAGCTCGTCCTGATCGGAACCATAGGCACGACCGATCTTGATGTCTACGTGTGCCAATCAACGTCACTCGGCCGCGGGCCTTTTCGCGCAGTCTCGCCTGGGCTGTCTGCGTCTGCCAACCGTCTCCAGTCTCGAGAAACACCGGCACACAAAACACGGAATGCTGAGGGCTGCCACGGCAAGGCCACGAGGGATAGCAGGTAGACCATAGTCCTCATGGCCGGATGCTGCCGTTTGCCGTTGCGGCTTGATCAGTTTAAAGCTTGCCCGCATCACTCAGCATAACAGCATGTCAGAAAGCATTGAAAGAGGTCGAGATAAAGGCTTCAGAAACACAAAAAAACGCTTCGGCCCAGGGATTTGCCCCCCGAAGCACCCTTGGAAGACACACCGTTCCACAGTAATTAATAGTCCGCAACATCACGGTGCCGCGAAGAATTCTGAACTTAGATCGCGCTGTTGGATCGGCGGTAGGTCGCTCGGCACTTCGGCGAGCGATTGGCTACGCCAATCAATCGCGAGTTAAGCAACGTGGTCGCAATAAACAATAACATACACCCCACACACGCACACACATCCGCCCACCCGCTGGTCCACGCCACGAAAATACTGGAATGATGCTCGATGAGGTCCTCGCAAGCCCGAGCCGAAGGCCTACCCATATGTGTTGGGCCTTTGGGGAGGTCGGCAAACCCCATCCCGAACCCACCGAGGATAAGGCAGCGCGTAGAGTACATTAATCATCATACGAGAAAGACAAGATGCAGGCAAGCGCGATCCCTCGCTCGATAGCCGAAAGATGAAAGACACCCTCTTGCTTGCACTCAGCCAGGGCAGTCTCTCTTTCTTTCTGGCGGGCTTAGGGTCAGTTGCCCGACCCTCAGGCGCTTAGCCCGCCCGCTCCCCCCACTGTGTTCATGAAAGGGGCGGCATTGGAGCCTCAGGGGCAGCGGCAGACAACTCCAAGGTATGTTCAGAATTTCTGAGTCGGGAGCCCACATTCCCGTACGGTGGCAAACGCAAATCTGGCCTCATCTCCTCGCCCCTATAGCACTCGTCACGGCTCCCAGTAACAGCAGAAACGAACATACAGCGTTTGCCCACAGCCACAACTGCTCAGAACCGCAATTGAAAAACAAGGGAGTCAAAAAAAGTAGCTTTGAAGTTGTCAAGGGTCAACAAGGAACAACTAAGCACTACTTGACAAAGCTTACCAACTACACTCGCATCATAGCTTCGGAGTCCTGTGCTCACCTGACAGTCCTCATTGCCGCCACTCATGTAAGATGCGAAGTAGCTCACAAGCTCACATGATATCGAAGACACTTTGCAAAGGCAAGCATGATCAGGCTCACGTAACTGACACGGCGAGGATTGTCCCCCCCGTTTGACTCTGTATTGGTGTCTACTCAGGTCCTCTCACCGGCCACGGTTCTCCCTCGCTCTCGCGGTTCTCCCTCTCTCTCTTTGCTTTGCTTTGCTCCGGGGTGTGGGCCGCAAGCAGTCCTTGCGACCGGCGCTTCAGCGCGACCCCATCCAGCATTTTGTCCGGATGGGTTTGGCTGTACATGGAGCAGACTGTTTGAGCGGGTGCCCATGCTAGTTCGCGACATACCATCACAAAACATCGATAACATTCAGATCAAAAGGCCTAGCCAACAAGTTCCCTGGGCACCTCGACTCTTCGCTGAAGGCTGGTGCCCTCGAGCTCGTGGTTTGGGCTTCTGCCCTCTCTTGCTTGCTTGCCCTCTCTCTCTTTCTTTCGCCAGGCTGGAGGGCAAGCCCTCACCCAGAGGGCCGCCCCTTGTTGTCGGCGCGCACGGTATTACGTGCGAAAGGCTAGAGTTACCGACCTCATGTGGACGATTGTTTCGCCCCGGAGTACCCAAACAGTGCATGCTACACCGAAACAGTCTGACTTCCAAATGAACAGCAGCTTTCACGGGCACTCCACCTGAGGTTGGCTGGCTGTACTAGGTATACAAGCTTTGCCCCTCGCCCCGTGTAGATTTCAATTGCATAGTAACAGCACAGTACACGTGATCACAGTGGGGCCTGGGCTCTGCTAAGCTACACTCCGGAGTTCGCCCCTGTTTTGGGAAGCAACTTTGGGCCTGGAGGACTCGTGCAGCATCACAGTACGGGGCATTCCTGCTTTAGGCTTCCAATAGTTATACGAGGAAGCTCAGGTCCGGAGGCTCAGCATTTACAGTAGCACCTTTGAGCCCGATCAGAGAGCAACGACAAAGCCTGGGGCCCATGCAAGTACATCAAAGTTTGGAGTCTGCATCACTCGGTAGGGCTCTGGGTGCTCTCTCGCTCCGACACAGCATCGGAGCTTCAGTCACTACTGTCCGGGTCTGGCGAGCTCACGGGTGTGGGGCGGTCAGTAGGGCTCGTGGTTACTCTTCGTCGCCCCGTAGGTTGCTCGTAGTCTGCCAGTGCCTCCACTTCTGCCTCTTCTCTTGCTGCCTCAGCCTACGTCGCTTCGCCCCCGTAGCCAGGGCTCGCCACTGCAGCCATTTCTTGGTACGTCTGCGCCCCGAAGTCCAGGGACGGCACTGGCTCCCACTGCTGCGCCAGGATTACAGTTGCTTCATCTTCGCTAAGGTCATGGTCTGCTTCCTGTCGCGCCTTGCTGCAGGAACCCGCGCACCGAAGCCAGGTTTTGCGTCGCTTGCTCGAGGGACACAGCATGGCCATGGAAGGGCGCAGTGGTCTCAGCCGCCCCGTCGTTCATAGCGATGACATCTGCTGCATGCGCCCCTCTGTCTGTCCATGTGTCTTCTCCCTCTGCAACTGTGGCCAGCTTGGAGCCCACCATCAGGTCATTCTGCAGCTCCATCAGGCCATGCATGCCTACCGCATCTATCCTACTGTACGCAGTGTTGACTATGTGGTGTGCGCCCCGTGCTGCGGCGAGTCTCGTACTTGCTCTGCTTTGAAACACCCCTGGGTTTGCCTCCATCGCCGTGGTAAGTAGGTAGAGTGTACGGGCTAGTTGCTGTAACACCATGTCTTGTGTGAGGTGTGTGTTCTCCCCGACGGTCGCCAACGAAAGTAGGTTGGCTGCTGCTTCCCGAAACAGGGATGTGACGCCCCGCAGCTTTTTGGTGGGGGAGGTATTGCTGTTACAGCGGTCCCGGCTTTGCCTCCATGAGGTCAACATGTTTAGCAGGATGACCACATGGTATGTAACAGCGTGCACCTCTCCCCCTGTTGTTTCGAACAACAGGCTGCGCAAAGTGCTGATGACGTGGTTGAGGTCTGGTCTTCGGTCTGTGCTTGCGCTGGCCGGTTCATGACGCCCCGGTCTGTGCATGAGGCTGTGCTGGTCTGCTGTGTCTGTAGTGGTGGTAGTGGTTGTGGTGGGTGGTGGGGAGAGGCGATTACCCAAAGGCCGCCCATCCTGAAGGATGCCCAGCAGTCCTGTCTGTGGTGGTGTGGGGCTGACTGTCGGTGGCTCCGGTGGGGGGCGGTCCGCTGCAGCTTGACTTCTGCGAAGTGTTCTGCCGTCTCCGAGTGGGTGTGGTGCTGCTTGTGTGCCCGCGGCTGTGGTTGCTGAGCTGGCTGTGGCCATGTTGTTGCCCGCAGTTGCTGTAGAGTCGGTGTTCGTAGAGGTGGTCGGAGCTGTTTCCTCCCCGGTGTGTGGCAGGGTGTGTGCTGTGTGTGGTGGGGACTCCGCCCCGCTGCTGGGGCTTGCTTCAGCTTGTGTGTCTTCTGCTGTCGTGGCGCTCGTGTCTGGATCCTCGCAGGCGGCTTCCTCGTTGAGGTGCACGTCGAGGGTCCATTCCACATCGATCCAGGTGAATGTGAGCACATCCCCCACACACAGGATGGCTGCATTGAACTCGTAGTGCCCCGGTGCCGGGGCCGAGAGGACCTCTGCCACATACATGTTGGGGTCTGGTCTGGTCAGGCTGAGGGTAGTCCCAATGGAAATGGGAGGGGCATGGGTGGCTACGATCCCTGGCGGTATGGTCCTGAGTGGCTCCGTGTCTGTTTAGTGCTGCCAGTTCGTGCTCTTCTTTGCGTCTGGGGTTGCTTTCAATGTGCACCAGCCACCAGGGGGGGGCTTGTGGGGTACCGGGCTCCTCTGCAATGATGCGCCCGACGGCCCACTTGTTGGTGGGCAACGTGGGTCCCCCTCTCTCTCTCTCTCTCTCTCTCTCTCTCTCCCTGCGGGCTCGACAGGCCTTTGGCAACCCCGTTGACTGGAGCAAAGCAGCCACCGTCTGCACCTGCCACAAACTCAGTTTGCCCCAAAGCAAATCACGCGGATCTGCACAGCAGTAGCGGCTCAGTAGCGATGCGCAAGGCAGGCCAGCCATGCCACATCCACTGCCCTGGCCTCAGCCGTGGAAAATTGCACGCCACGACTCAAGCCGTCGCATGTCATAGACTTGCTTCAACAGAAATTCCACCCAGGTCAAGACCCGCTGTTAGGAATGTCAGCCACCGTTTGACAGCGGCATGTTTGCAAGTACAACTCCCGTCAGCATACAGAGGCGAGGTGCACGCAGACGATGGCTTTCATTCAAGTAGAATGCAATCGCGCTAGCGAAGAAAAGGTGGCCGGAGGCCGACAAGCTGGCATCCTGAGACATAAAGAGTTAACAGGTCTCCCACGTGGCAACAGACCGAGAATCATCCCCCGTCCTCCCACCAACCATGCATGCTGCTCAGCACTTGAGAAGAGGCGGAGGCCTGATCCAGATTCGAACACGTGGTCACCGTCTTCCATTCCCAAGCTTGACAACACACGACACTTCTTCTGCTTACCCTTTGCCCTGACACCCGCGAGACCTCTTCAGGGGGGGGCTTGAAGTAGGTGAAGAGGCCGATATTACTTGTGGCCACGGATGCGAGGCAGAGATGCTGGCAGGGCTTCGATGGCTTTAAAGCTGATGCCCACTGACACATCAAGCCTGGCTCGTGTCTCGCTTATGTTCACTCGTTCGAGGGGGAGGCCTTTCAAACTTTAGTTTCAAGCTTTAGACTGCCCTTCGAGCAATCACTTCCGATGTTTCGCTACATGTCGCTGCTAGTCGTTCAGTTCTTAATGCATTGAGCTGTAGAAAGAAGCCTTCATTGAAGCTTCACAATGCGATACGAGCGCATCTAGATCGAATAGCAAAAAGATTCCTGCACAGGTGTTAGGGATTCAGAACTTCTACAATTGCGGAGGACGCGTTTGAATTCCGTCCCAGCATGAGGCATTTTATCGCCCTCTCTCTCTCCCTCTCCCTCTCGCTCGCGCTCTCCCTGAACGTACATAGAACCCAATCCAAACGGTGGCGTCCGCTAGCGCCAGCGACTGCGAAAATACTTGTTTAAGGGGGAATCCCGATGTCGCCAGCTTTAGAACCGAATCCACGAGCAAGCCGTAGATCGGGGGGCTGCCTGCACCTGCTCCTCCTCGAAGGTTCCCAGTTCCTGCAAACAAAGTGTGCTCTAGAGGCACTCGTCTGGCTTTGTCCGAAAGAGGTCGCCTTCAGCACCATTAGCTCCACGGGGCTAAGCAGAAGCACAGATCGCCCTTGCGATGCAAGGCGTCCTTCAAGAGCACTACGTAGCAGAACAGCCGCAGCCCGCTTGGCGGCTCTTGGGCGCTTTTCTCTCCTGTTCGGCCGGCTCGGTGGACGTACTGCTCGCGGTCGCTGGGAGGGCCGACCTGCAGAGAGCATAAATCTTCCCTCAACACTTGTGGCACCGCTCCGATGCGCAGAGTTTTTGTCCTTTGGCTCTGGGTGTAGATGCTGAGCTGAAGCCTGCACTTAGTCCAGATCCGAGGCCTGGATCACGGAGTGCACATCCTCGGAGCGTCCAGGCTGCGGTCGTGCTGCGGCGCTTTTTCGGACCGGGCAGTGGACGAAGTCCATGCCCCGAGAGGCCAGGTCCGTGGCGAACAACGCACCCCGGCTCGCCGGAGCCTCAAGAAGAAGGCTCCTTCCCATCCCTTCACCCTCCGTCTCTCTCCATCTCCAGGTGGAGGATCCTCTGCCCGGGTGTCTGGCCCCCTTGGAGAAACGGAGGGCTCGTGCCCGGCGCCGATCATCGGAGAGGCTTCGATGCAAGGCGAAAAGTCCGGACCTTTGCTGCAGCCGTTTGATCGCATCTTAGCCTTTGTGAGTTCCCGTGGAAAACTCACCAGCCAACAAAGCAAGCTCAGGTGGTGTAGAGTTCGAACCCGTGTTGGAGCGAGTCTGCCGATGTTTGCCGGACTATTTAGAAGCTTGAGGCTGGAGCATGCTCTGGCCAGTTTCAGGCTTCCATGGGGTGCCCTTGCGCCCGGCAAACCCGAGTCTGGTGCGCCCAGGAACAGGAACCGTTCGCAGGGGATCTTTCCGATGCGTGCAGTCCCGCAGTCCCCACTGATGAGCTTTGTGTCCGGAGCTGCCTGTGGCTGGCCTGTGTGGACCGTTGTGTCTCATGCAGGCTCACTGGCTGACGAAAGCTCCAGTGGCGAGAATCGAGAATTGCCGCCACACTTCGCTCACTACATCCCTGCAATAAGATCTGGGCATGTGGGCCCGGTGCTTTAGCAGGACGTAGAAAAACCTCAGGGCAGCTGACGATTGGAGACAAGCCAAGGTCGAGTGAGCGAAATTTCGGGATGCAGACTGGAGCCAGCGCACTGTGGGAAAGACCACCAGCACCCGGCGCATTTCCCCTGAAAGTGCCCACAGAAAGCATGGATGTGTGATTTGTAGACGCAACTCCATGCCTTCCTGACCCATCTCTCGCTCCAGTGTGGCATGGAGAGTGGTCAGAAACTCCTCCGCCTTATACCGGACGAGTACCTTCAGAGGCAGAAACCCCTGCCCTGCATGACATCCTCCGACCCGTGCCTGCTGTACAGGCGCGGCGACTTCGGCAACTTCGGTGTTTTCCTGTTTCCGGGAGTCCACGCGCGGGAGCGACCCAATGCCTGAGCCTCGCACCGGCCTGTCCAAGAGGGGCACGCTCCTTCGAGCCGAGGCGGATCCTGTCACATCGCGGCCGAGACACCCCAGGGACACGAGGAACAGCGATTGCAAGCCAGGTGGCACTTCCAGGTTCGCGCGGAGTGATCGAATGGCGAACTTGCGCAGGGGCTCGCTGAACCTTCGCAAGGAAACATCAGATGCATCAAGTGCTCAGAACATCTCTTCTGTGCCCCAGGCGTGGCTGAGCAAAGAACCATTCGGGGCCTGCATCTGAGACAAAGTTGCTACCTGGACCTAACCGACATGGCCTTCCTTCTCAAGACAAAGCGACGGAGCTGCTCCTTGCAGGTCAACTCATGTCTGACTAAACCTCCCGCCTTGGAGTTGGAAGGCACCGGATGAGATAGTCCACCTGCTGCCAGCTGCAGGTAGGAAATCCGGCACGAAGACACTGTCAGCGCCTTGTAAACAAAAGATGGGTCTAGCAGACGATCTGCTTCATCTAGGACCAGCAGGTCCACTGACTGCAGCGCACTCACCTTGGACCCAGCATGATCCGCCGAAAGGTCCCTAAAATCGAGCTGTAACACTCCCTGCTAGACATCGGACAGTTAGGCGGTCTGGGAAGAGGAAGATCGGGCTGGGGTCCTCCGGAGATGCAGAAAACACAGACGAATGCAAGCCACAAGCCGAAGCGGGTGTTGACCAATCTGTGAAGGTGCCCGAGGAAAGGAGCTGGTCAGGGGCAGAGCTCCAGACTCTCGACACACGGATCTGGAAAGCCGCACACAAGAGAGACAGGAGGTGCCGGAGAGGTGAACAGGTTCGAACATCAGCCTCTTGGCTCAGGTTAGGGGCCTTACGCTGCTCAACTCCACCACTGAGGCCTGCGCAAAGTGCGGCGTCGTTTGTAGATGACGTGCCTTGGAGCCACAACATCACATGAAGCTACGTCTCTCCGAGGTTTTCGACAAGAAGGCGGCTACAGGCACATCATCGCCTTTTCTGCAAGATGGCTTCTCAGCAAACTGAGCGTCTGTCTACTGAAGCAGCGTAGTCCAGCTGTGGACAAGTGTGCGTTCATTCGGGGTAAAGCCTGCTCGAGTTCTGCGACGGACTTAACACCCACCTGCTGGAGCTTTGCCAAGACGGCACTCAGCTCTCTCTCGCTCCACGTGGGCCTAGCCTCGTGTAGAAAGTCTCGCAGGCAGTCTACAGACCCTCCTACAAGACCGGACACGAAAGCGTCGACGTCTATGTTGTCACCGGAAGACTGCACACTCTCGCGCAACGCCCAAGCAATGCTACGAACAGCAGCATCCGGATCACAGAAGGAAGTTTGCACAGCCTTGGATGACACCGCGCCGAGCGTGTCGAGTTTTGATATGGCAACCAAGGCAGCTCCGCGAACTTCGGGATCAGGATATTCCAGCAAGGCAATAGCAAGCTGCAGGCTCTCCGCGGCCACCAGCACTCCCGGGCCCAAGCGTTCCAGCACCGCGAGAACGGAGATGGCCCAGACTTTCCTGGCAGAGGTTCCCGCCCTGGGCTTTGACAGGCCAAGTTTCAAGGCGTCCAACAGGGCGTGCCGTCCCTCATCGCCCAGAGCTTCAGCGTCGGAGAGCAGCTCCGAAAGGCCAAATGCAACCCTCTCTCGCACGCCCAGCGAGGCATCCCCCAGACCCTTCGTCAGTAGCGCGAGGGGCGAAGGATGTGACGGATATGAAGACGAAGAAGCGACGGCATGTACGGCCTCATGCTTGCAACATCTGCAACACACCAGCAACACTTCTGCTGCTTTCTCCCGCACCCGAGCGGAAGAATCTCCGAAAGCGCGAGCAACGCAGTTGAAGGTCTTCTCGAGGAGCTCGGAGCCACCCTGGAGGCCCTCAATCAAAGCCTCCCGCAAGGCGTCACCCAGTGTAACCATCAAATCGCACTTCAAGTCCACGGAGATGCCCTCAAATCGCACTTCCGCCGCTTCCGCCTCGGCCGAGTCGGCCGCGTGACCGGCCTTCTCGGCACTGACGCTGAGACGATCCAGGATCTTCCAGGCTCTCTCTTGCAGCGACAGCCTCCTTGCTCGCAAAGCCCAGAGCCATATGTCCCAGGCCTTGCACTCCAACTTCTCCACCGCTTCGACCACGCTTCCCAGTGCAATCACATTCTCAGACTCAAGCTGGCGGAGGGCATCCAGGGCTTCCTCTCGAACAAGGGGGTTGGCATCGCCCACGCGGGCCTGAAGCTCAGCGATGCACGGGCTGTTGACTCCAGGCACTACAAGGACCGCAAGGGCCTGCAGTGCGCGGACAGCGGCCATGCGAACTGGCACAAGGACGTCCATGCAACCATCGAGCGCGGCACGCAGAGCACGCTCTGCTTGGGTGCCCTCCAAAGCCGTCGAGGCCGCTGAGGCCGCGGCGCCCGCCGCGTACGTGCGAAGCGCTTCCATGGCATCTTGTCGGACCTCGCCACTCTGGTCCTTGATGCCCTGCAAGATGAGCACGGTCATCTCCTCAGGCGGGAGGCTGCGCAAAAGGGCACGCATGGCCGTCCTCCGGACATCTTCGTGTGAATGTGTCAAGTAGCCTCGAAAAACCTCCAGACTTCCTGCGGCAGGAAGGAGTCGACTCAAAAGATCCAAGCTTCGAATCGTGATCAGAATACTGTCGGTTTCCAAATTCTGCAGTATGTGGTCCAAGCAGACAACCAAGCTCAGCGGCTCGGAACCCGGAGTACAAATGACTTGGACTTCACTCAGATCATTGACAGCCTTGGATCCTTGTAAGATTCGCTGGCAATCAGGCGGTATCCCCCTCAAGCGGAAAACCTCGGATTTCAGATCCTGTATAAGCGCCGTTTCTCCAAGTTCCAGACGAAGCGAGTCTCCACTCATCATCTTCAGCTCAACGAACATGATGGGGGGAGCGCCATGCTGCGTCATGTCCCTGCAAAGTCTATGCAATGTTTCGGCCTGAGCTATACTACGCAGGCACTGCAGACTGCGGCGGAGTTGGGCGGCAGAGGAGCTGCGGAGCTGGAGCCCGTCACCGAGTGGCGGACCAAACGCCAAGGAGTTGCGAAGAGAAGCTGCGGCGTGTCTTCCATGAGGCGCTCGATGTCCTCCTGATGCCGACATCAAGACATAGAGAGCAGCAGCGCGGTGGCGGCATCCGTCTCGCTGCCTGGCCTCGAGGGAAAAGCTGCCGGCCACGAAGGAGCTCCGAAGCTGGCCGCCGCTGAACTGCAAGAGCCGGCTCGCGACCTTGGCCTCAAACACTTCGAATGAAACACTTCCCCTCTTTTCTTCCTGTGCTTCTTCGCTTCTTCGCTGTGGATTGTTGCCAGGGTCGGAGCCGACTGCAGCACGAGCTCCCTGGTCGGTGCCAGCACCAGCATCCGAACGCCCTCGCGGTTTTGTTGGGGGAAAACATGGCTCGAAAAGGAAGGGTTGCCGGAGCGCTCGGAAGCCTCCGGCGCCGCTTTTCCAGCTCGTCTAGCGTCCTCTCGAGCATGACTCTTGCCTCGCTCACCAGGCATGCCACATGTACCATGTACCCATGTACCCATGTCCCTGCTCCTCTAAAAGGAGGAGTCGCTGCAATGCTGGCAGGAGGAAGGCGATGGTCTTCCCCGTGCCAGTCGGAGCCTCGAGTGCGTCTCCCTACACGTGGCTTCGGCAAGCCTGCAGGGGTGTCGAGACCTGCAGCAGGAGGTCGGCTTGCCGGGCACTTTGTTCCTGACACTGAAATCCGGAAGGGCTGCTCGGCACTGGAAACCAACAAACTACAGAGAGTCCTGGTCCGCCTTCAGGTGCCGGGACAGAACCTCGTGCTGCACTGGCGTGACGTACGACTTCCCGACGGCCGCCTGACGAGGCTTCTGCTGGCGTTCCTGTACTCCGCTCCAATCCTCTCGCCTCTAATCCTTTCCGAAGCCGCTCATCAAGCGGGAAGTCATCGAAGGTCGTTTCAGCGAAGACGTTCGGGCGGTCGCAGCTAGAGAGCTTCACGAAGCCGTGGGTTCCAAGTTTGCCCTGTCAGCGGACGCTTCGAGGCATCTCTGCCAGTCTCAGGAAGGCCTGCTGGAGTTCTTGTCGGAGAGCATGCAATGAGCTCGACAGCCGCCTGTCCCGACATGCCAGGTTCTCGCATCTTTCATGTTGCATGTTCAATCTCCATATCTCAGACTCACAACCCGGCCTCAGCATTAGGCTGCAGGAGTGTCGGCAAGGGATTATTAATGCTGCGCAAGTCTGTATGACTGCAGGCCTGTGTGACAAGCCCTTCACACGCAAAGACCAGAAACCCACTTAACTGTGGTCAGGTGTATGTCTGTGTGTGTGTGTTGCAGCATTGCACATCTCAGCACTGAACCAACCTAGTCAGGTCACTTGCAGGCTTGAAAGCAACGCACATGCCAGCTTCCTGTTCATGCTACGCCAGAAATGCATCGCTTCTTCACGCATCGTCTGAAAAAAGCACCTCCTGGGCCATTTTCTCACGAGAGAATCATCCGCTCAGGAATGAGGCGAACACCAAACATGCCTGTCAGCCGCAGGTGAGATGGGGTGCGGCTAAACACGCCTGTGAGGAACAGGAATGCGATAATACAAAACATCGAATCAAGTCTGCCCAATTTGCTAGTTTCCTTGCGTAGCAATCGTGTATCCTCGGCATGCCCCTGTGGATGGAGATTGCCCTGACAAACATAAACTGACAGGATGTTTAGCTGGACTGCTGCAAGTGGTGCTCCGGATTTAAGTACACACGAGGACTCCAACCAACATCTCTACACGATTTGTGCATTGGTCCTTCACGAAGCCCGCTGGTACAGCCGCTTCGGTGAAAACTGCCGGACGGAAGCCAAGCCTCCACCAGGGAGGCTCTTCCGACCACCCAGCCATGAAATCTGGTCCTCCTACGATCATGACAGGTTGGCTCCCGGTGTCGGAAGACGGCTTCAACGACTGTGACAGCCCACGCAGACTTTGACACCATGTGTCGCCATGAACTGCTGCGGGCGCGAAGGCGACTTAGTGTCCCACGCGGACTTACCGTGGCTGATTCGTAACCATACACATCACCCTATCATCAGACTCGGCCCTACATCTCATGCTTCAATTCTCGGAAGTTCAGCTAGCTTTCTGACACACAATGTGTGAGAAACACTTCTCTGCTCGCATGCGTGGGGATTCAAGTCAGGGCCTGGCTGCTCCTCAGCGCTTCTACACGACTTGCTGTTGGCTTGGCGAGTGTTAGGGGGTTCGGACTTCGGAGCATCACGTTCTCCTTCTCTGCTGGCGTCTTCGGCTACGTGGACTGAAGCTGCCCGTGGCATGGCTTATCGCCGCGAGACCTGTGGCCCGCTTGAACGGCAGTCGATCGATCGACTTCGTCACTTTGTGGGAACCGGATCGTTTCCGCGAGGGGCAAAGCTCCCAACTCCTGCCTGGATATGACCCACCATCTCTGCGACTTGGAGCACACATTCTTGCACACCTGTAGATCCGGCCGCACACTGTGCCCTTGAAAAATGGGACCGCCGATCTCGAACTGTTTGCCACGCTCAGCAGCCAGGTTTCGATGAAGTTGCATGAAAAATCCTACATCTATCCCACAAACCGCTGCAGAGCGTCTGAGATGGAAGGTGAAACGGACACCCTATGCGGCTTTTGCTTTTGGCTCCTTGTTCATGCAGAAAGCGTACTTCAAGGAGCCAGTAAAATTCTGCCGCACGAGCCCGAGGCCCTTGCAACTGACAGCATGCTAAAAGACTACGGTCGCATCCATTATGTTGCTAGCCTCGGCCTCTGTGGATCGTGAGAGAGCGCGTTAAAGTTGAGGCAATGACCTGACTGATCCTCGCCTGCGCTCGGCAAAGCTCACCACCCGCACGGGTCGCCTCGGCCTCAGCCTGAAAAGGCTCAAGAAGGGCAAATTTCGAGGTTTGGGGCCGCTTCTCCTCCAGGGAGCATCCTCAGCCTTCGGCCTCCGAGACCTCCAGGGCCCGTCGGCAAATCGTCCATCAGGACGAAAGAACAAAAGGCTTCTTCACAAGAGCTCTGCGGCTCTGGGCTCCCTGTCCGCACAGCTCTCGTGAAGAAAGCAGGTGTACGTCTGGCTGGTCTCTTGACCACTCGAGGTGCGGCATGCACCAAAAACAAAACAGGTTGCAGGTGAAAAGCGAAAACTTTGGGGCGGCCGGGATTGGCCACTGACGGACTCTTGGTTCCATGAATGTGCTACCATTGCAAACGATGCCCAGACCGCCAGTTCGTTGGCCCCCTCCTCAACTTCAAAGACCCTGCAGAATTGCCGGCTTGGCGCAAGAAAGAAATCTTCGAAATCACCGAGTGGCTCTGACCTGACTTTCCATGGCTAGATACTGCGAGGATACGCCTGAATGTCGTGCACTTCCTTGCGCAAGCCTACACGAGCAGAGATGCCCAATTACAGCCAAGCTGTCTTGGTGTCGGGAACCATGCCCTTTGTGAAAAGAGGAAGATGGCCTACTTAAGTTCTCTCACCGTACCTTGTACCTCACAGACAGGAGAGCATCGCAAAGTGCACACACACACAGACAGACATCGAGAGAGAGAATCAGAGGCTGCGCATGACTTTCTTAAAAGACAGCAACAGCACTGCACAGGGCCAGGGCGGTACCCTGCTGGAATCACACAGCGCTGCTACCACACCAAAATTCCTGCCTGTGGACTCACAGTCCGCGCCAATTGTGTAAATCAATCCTCGGCCGGACAAAACACGGCTCTTGTCACTCTTGTCTTGCATCTCGACCAATCCTATCATCTCCCCTCCCTGTCAGTCACACCTTCACAACTTCAATCTTCAATAGCCATAATTCTTCTGGACTTGCTCTGCTTGTGCTACGCACGTGAAGGGCACATGGCATCCTCGAAAAACTCCGAGGCACTGACCGTGTAGACTTCATCTGTGTTCAATGCCAATGCCCCACACGCAGAGCCCATGCCTGCGCCTCTGCATAAAAGATGGGAAAACGAGCCATGGCAAAGCAGAGGTTCGGTCCCCAGACCTGCTGAACACTGGTACGGCCGGTCTGGCATGGGAAAGGCCTCAGAGTCCAAGGAAGAGAAGCGGCTTGTCGGCCCTAAAATCCCCCGGCCTGCACCGGAAGCATCATGTAAGGGACCTTTAGGTCGGCAGGCACGAAGGCTCTCGCTGATCTGAGGCTCTCGAGGCTCTCAGCTCTGAGGCCCAAGACCATCTGCATGGATCCTTGCTGCGACCCCAAAGCACCTTCACAGAGAGCCCTCGAAGATGGGAGAGGCCCGCTTGAGGATGTCAGTTGAGACCAGCCTTGAGCTCCGACGCAGACTTGCCGATCCAGGGGCACCTGATCCAAGTGCCAAGGGCTCGAGATGCTGCCAGTGAATTTTCCACACATCGACACTTGCAAGTTTGCAGCGAGTGGCTACAGCGACTGAGAGCCTTCAGCACGCGAGCTGAACGAGTTTGTTTGGTAACTATTCAACTTTTTGGCTCCCTGGATCCTGGGTCCTAGTGTCCGGTGCAATCGCTGGTGTTGCTTCGCTTCCCTTCTTCAGACTTCTATTGCACGATGAGCTTTGTTTCGTGTGCGCAGCAGGTGAGCCGCCAATGTCGCCCAGAGTATCCAGGACCGCTCTCAACAAAAACCTAGGCTCTCTTCCAGCAGGGGATTCCGTATAAACTATAGAAGCTCCGGAGAGCGCAACATCCTCAATTTGGCGCCCGTCTAATGTAGCAAGATGTTGCTGAAGTGTTTAAGATATCATGCATGCAGCCGATGGGTCACGTCTCATCCACAAAAACCCACTCAGGAATTCAAAAGAAAACATAACGACAATAATACGGAGTGCGCTGTGCGCTTCCACGTGGAAGCAAGGTTGGCATTCTTCAGTTTGCACATTCGTTTCTCCGATGAAGAGCAGCCATGTAATTCAAGGTGACGGGCCGCATCCTTACCGAACAGGTTGCAAAAGGAGCTGCATGCAAACTACAAAAACATACATGGCTACAACGATATATTCGGAATCAGACTGAAAATCAGACTGCTAAAGATAAGGACAAGGACAACAGTTCAATACCGCAAGAATGAAACTAAAACTGGTATTGCGCTTGTAATGATGGCTCTCCCACGAAGCCATGGCGGCAGGAGGGAACTATGGGCAATTTGCTTCCATCGTCAAACAAGTCGGAATTGGTTTATGTGGGTCTCCAACAAAGTTACGGGTACTGTAATATAGTATAGTATTGTCACATAGTGTACATAGCAAGGTACATTCTAACACAAAGTAACCGGTTTTTTTCGGTTTGCGTGTGTATGTATATCGTGGTTTGAACTGTGGGTTACTGTGGATCTCCAGCGAAGCTTTGGTTGTGCGAGCGAGTTGTGAAGTTTTCGCACGTAAAAGGTCCACGTGGCTTTTTGGGGGTTTCCAGCACAGCCATCGTCATCAAAAAAATGTTTGAGACGGAAGGGGATATGGGCACCATACTTTGCTTGGCACAAATTCTGAGCGGGCGGGCGTGGATCTTCAAATCGCGCAATGTCCGCAACTCAAGAATCTCTTTGCTGGAGTCCCACAAGAACCCAGTCGGAACTTGAAAAAACGAAGATGAATAAGTTTTTGACATGCATAGCTCCCTTTACTTCAAGGTAGTCGTCCCTTCGGACGCGGACTGTTGTGTACAAATGTTTTCTCAAGATGCTGACACCATATCAGCCACATACGCTCATCACAGGAGCTGGTCCAAACCCATGATGTCAAACACTAGGCATCAAAATCATCAAGGTTGAACCTCGGCATAGTCGTTGACCCCTTAGCTTTGGACCATTGCTTAAGTTGACCAGCTGCAAGGACGCTCACGAGTGGTCTCACTGGCGGACTTGCTTTGCGCTTTCGAGAGCACAGAACTGAATCTTGAACGACAAAAACAGCTGCACAAACACAGAGAAGAGAGAGAGAGAGAGAGAGCGCCCCTGCTGGCAAACCAACGAAAAAAAAACATGCCATGATTCGCTGCGTTATCAGGGTGTTGCTGAAGCCCCACACACACCCACACCCCCGCTTGTGATGTCGACACAAATCAAAGACTTGCCACTTGCCCATGCTTTCTTTGGAGCACCACAATGCTTAGAGAGACC